CCTCTAAATATACCGAACAAGTTCTGTTACTTTGCGAATCTATCCATAAAAAACACCAGGACCGCACAGGACCCGTCCCATGTGTGGTTAAGAAACCGTTACAACTTGAACCTGATCAGAATAACAATGCAAATTACCATTCTCGGTTGGCGTCGTGGTTGGGTCAACGTTAACCAAGTGGGTAAAATGGTGGTTCCTTCCTGGGCATTTAAAAAAACAGATACGCTACTATACGCCTTCGCTCCCTCATGTTTCCTGCTCCGGTTTTTTGGCCTAAGACGACCAGTAGGTTGATGTATTTGCTGCAGGTTAAGTACCCATGAGCAAACCCAGATATGACTGAATTAGCCACTTTCCAGTTCACCGCAGTAGATTGTTTTCCGTACTCTAACCTCTGAACGTCGCCACCGCATGACAGTCATTCATCTGTCGGTTTATTGGGCGGCAACGAGAAGCAACCAAAGAGAACCGAGCATTAGATTGAGTCATGCGTCATAATCAGTCGTCCTATTGCTTTGGAAATTACTATAGTAAACTCGTCGCCTTCCAAAAAACTTTACTCTCTTTCTGATGCAACGATATACAAATTTGATCGGATTCACACAAAAATTAACGCAACTTACAGAACTGGAATAGACGATTAAGTTTACTTAACTCTTTTTCAAGCATCTATTCAATGTGATAAAGCAAACTCCAAATCAGTTTTTTTTAAACCTAGGATAGACAGATCAGTGTCTGTTTGTGACAGTAATCAAACTCCTACAAAAAACATTGTTATGCCCCACAAGATAGGAAGCTCTGAAGCAATAAGCAAAAGGTGGTCCTCATACCGAATCAGAGTGCACATTGATCAAGAGAAACGCATACTAAGGTGTCAATGTTGAGCATTCAAATGAAAAGCCATAATTTCTACACGAAAGCCGAATTATAAAACTGCGGTAGTTTTTCATAAAAAACGTCTATACCGTAATTCACACACACACACACACACACACCGAACAAACAGTTACTTTACCCTTCCTCATAAAACGAAGTGAGATTAACTGTTGAGAACGACTCGTTAACTGCTCGTCACACCCGAATGGAGAGCGATTCAGTTAACTTTCGATGACGGGAACTGATGCAGTAAACGCTTGTACGATGTCTCTGAAAACCACAAGGATGGCGCCAACGTTGTGCCATATGAATAACGCCGATTAACCGGCGATCAGAATCACTACAGCCATATTTTGGCGATAGCCACCCCCACAACTGCTCCTGTTACAACTCGCACACGTATCTCAGATCCATGTCACGTGAACGCAAACAAGAGGCCATGTTACACTACCACAGTTGGTTCGATGCTTGTTTAAGAGTCCTTTGTTAGCCTCCTTTAAGAAGACTGCCTTCTATTAGCTAGGCCGCATCAAATCTATTATTAGTTTCCAAGACGTTCTCACGTGATTTACTTGCATTTTACCCAGACTTTTGACCCCAATCGAATCGGAATCCAATCAACGTGAAATTAGCGGTGTAAATTGTCTTTACCATATAAGCTCTTTCGTATCTCGTTCGGGTCCATTAATGGCCAGGTTAGATTTGCAAGTTAAAACTGATGTGCATACCCATTATCTTACTATGCTCGTTTTGATTTAAATGAAACTGGACGGAGAGTTCTGCAGCGGTTATTCTGCAGAAAATGTTGTTTAAAAGTTCTGCCAATTCGGTCGATGACAGTCACTCACCGTCAAGTTTTGTTAAACTCTGTCCACTAGAAACAAATCAGCCAACATACTCAACCAACTTCACGCCATCAAACAGAACTCCCATGCGCATCTATATGCAAAGAACATGTCACACGGCCAGAACTTCGTTGGATTTATGAGATTTATCCGTATACATATACATGCATCGACGTGCGAGCACACGCGCCTCGGATTTCGATCCCTGACAGCTTTTGTGGGGTTGAAACCCGTGTGGACAGTCTGCCTGTCTCTTTGAAAGTTTGCGCACTTCGGCTGAACTAGGAAACACCCAAATCCGTGAGTCCAGGGTGATAACTGATGGTTTGTCTGCGGAAAAAGACGAAAGGTTGTTTATTTACCCGTGACAGCTCTCGGTCGTGTGGCGTAACTAAGCGATGTATTCAGAACATGTTAAACAATTTAGAAGAAAATGTGTACACAAACATCACTACCAAAATACTGTTGGAAATTTGGCGGTCTTCGCGGTTGAACAAACCTCGATATCAGGCGGAGTTGTATCGAAAAACGAGTAACAACGATCAAATACTCATTTTATTGAAACTGCCTACAGAGTGGCCAATCCAGGGCATGGCAGTATAGCTGACATGATATAAGTTTTCTGCAGGACGAAACCGGAAAATGTAGTAATCAGGAAGACGCGAAGTCTGGAACAATTGCGTGTAGTTTCGTCGTTCATTGGATTTGAGCGGCAATGAATTAGTGACATGAGCAGGAATCACCAAACTCGATAGCTAACCGATAGACCTGGGTGCTGCTGGCGCATATGCAAGGTTCCTAAGGGGTGCTGTTCGTTGGACAGGATTTAAAGTCAAAAGAAAACGCCTGTTTGATGAGCTCCAAGAAGGGCGAAACCGGTCGTGGGCTGTCGGAGAATTTTCAGCAACCTTATGAGTAGTGCAAAAGAAAACAACGGTCGAAGCACACAACATATGGCTACGGGAGTCTGCGTTATTATAGAACTTGCACTGCTGATTCTGTCACGGCCCGAGGTGCGAATCTTTGCTTGCGAGCCACCAAATTTGGCGAAATAGGAAGAATGAGCACAGTCAAAACCAACATATTGCGTGGTTAGCTATAGAAATCCGAGCCATACTCTCAGCATCTGGAACCCTCAACTTACATACTCTGTGGACGCAAGTGTAGGACGCAGGGCTAACTTCTAGGCTTCTTTCGGTGCAGCTAGCGCACTGTCTGTCCACCGAAAACTGCACAATCGCGCTCTGCCTACCGCGTTGAAAGCTCGAACCAGGCCTTACTGTGTTCTTGACTTCAGTGATAGACAAGTGAAGTCTGGTTGCTGTAGCTCATCCCACATAATTCACTGGTGTACCATAGACCGTGAATATTGTGTTGGGCGAGGAGGTCAGTAATCTTCATGGAAATGAGTGTGACCCATCCTCTGAGTCAACTAAACGGCGAATTGCGTGCAAAATGAGGACGATACATCTCTGTGCATGTGATGGAGCATTCCATCTCCATTCGAGTCCAGATGAGCCGTTGAGAGTGTGGATTTGAACCTCTACAAGCCATGGAATGCTCATACAGGTCATCATACGAAACACTCTTGAAGTTAGAGCTCTTTTTTGTATCTAGAGCTATCGCATGTTCAGCGATCTTGATGAAACTAAGGGAAGTGTAAGCCCGTGTTAGGAGTGCACACATTCGCTCTAATAATTGATTTGTCACTGCTTGAGGCAGGTAGATTTTCCCAGAGGAGTTGTTTCATTGCAGTCATTCACAAATACATGCTGAAGGCATTTGAGAATAGTTTTTCGGGTCTTTTCTGTTATAAAATGTGATGTAAATAACACGGTTGTTCATGTGGTTGTTCTCGCTGTCTTTTTACCCCCAATCTCTGACTAATGTATCGGAAAAGTCGACCTTGTGGGCCACCGATGGCAATCGTGTGGTGAGCGAATGGGCCACTCAGTTTAGCTGCGACAAAAGTGGTGGCTAAGGTAGGTCGACAGCCTGCAGCAGTCACATGTTGGGTGATCAGTTTGTGAAGGTGGTCGTGGCTGTCACGTGACCACAATAGAGGCCAAAGTTTCGCTGAACGGAAAATGGGAGGAATGATCGACGAAAGAGAAGCGCATAATGTGGGACTTCCAGTATGCTTGAAAAGGGTTTTCAGCCTAGGCTGAATCTGTAAAAATGGCCTTTTCCAGCAATATTGTGTTATAAATGGCGATATTGCCTGTTCATGGTTTCTAAAGGAGACTACTGGAAATTCGAATACTACCTCTAAAAGTGTTCACTTTGCGCGCTGTACGCAAATATGTACTGGTAATGTTAACGAATGGAGAAATCAGCTGTCAACATTTCATCTGTCCTATTTTTCAATGGATCTGGACGCCAATACAGACGCACAGACCAATATGAACCGTAATTTGCTTAAGGCACCTAACAAACGAATTTGGCCTGTCCTTCATCCGTCTGGGATTTCAAAACTTGACAATGAATGGAGGCTTTTGTGAGACAAACACTGGAATGTTTTCAAAACCTCGGTTTCTGACAAGAACCTCGTCGATCGGAATATGCAATGGATCTGGACGCCAATACAGACGCACAGACCAATATGAACCGTAATTTGCTTAAGGCACCTAACAAACGAATTTGGCCTGTCCTTCATCCGTCTGGGATTTCAAAACTTGACAATGAATGGAGGCTTTTGTGAGACAAACACTGGAATGTTTTCAAAACCTCGGTTTCTGACAAGAACCTCGTCGATCTGGAATATGCAGACGATATCGTTTTCGGCTCCAAAGAGGAGGAGAAGGTGCATATGTTTTTTCGGATTGAGTGACCGAAGTCATCGCGTACTTTAGTGTGCACATTGCTCCCATAAGGTGTAAGGTCATGTTCCTGGACACGCAGTCACTAAACACGCCACTTACAATCCAAGGGGAGGCACTGGAGGTTGTGGAGCGTTTTACATGTCTTGGAGGTTGTATTAGCATTGATTACAGTGTGACTCATGATGACAATGCGCGAATCAGTTCGCGGTCACTAAATTAAAACACCCATGGCTCAAAGGGGCTTGTCTATCGAGCTACACTTTCGGCTGTTTTGTTGTTTGGCTGTGAGAATTGGCCTATTGGGGCAGCGGAACTAAGATGTCTTCACTTGTTCGGACATCGTTATCTAAGATGTCAGAGAATCCATAACGTGATATCTAGAAAGCGAGGTTCCGGTTGTGCAACGGGTACTTCCATTGAAAGTGCATCCAGCACCAGAAGCTGCTTTGGTTAGGCCATGTATTGGGCATGTCGAACCATCGTTTGCCGAATAGTGCTGTTTTCCATGCCCAACTCAGAGTGGCGGAAGCAGAGCGGTCGCCAACTCTTGACCCGCCAGAATGGTATGAAGGAGATTACGGGACGTTTGGGTGCCATCGGCGCTACTCTTCCACTAGGATGGGGACCGTGTGATCACCACAGCGCCTGGTTGGACATGTTGCAAGTTATGGCTATCGCATCTGGCTTGCTGACATGGAGATTTGAGTAGTTTCATTGGTGGACAGAACGTGAGAGGACAAAAAACCCAATGTTTATATATAGCGCTTTATAAACACTGCATTTCTTCACCTGTTAGTGTTACGCTAACATGTAGCTAGCTAATAAATCACGTAAGAAAATACTTTTCCAGACGGCCAGTCCAGGATTTAGGTATTTTACATCAAGTTTTGCACATATAAGAATGTTTCCAAACTCGCACAATCAGTGGCAGATCATACTAGTTGGCGAGGACATGTAGGCATTCCATCTAGGTTTTGAGTGACTGTCCCTATGGCTTTTCACGTAGACAGGATGAATGCGGAAATAAGTTGGTCCTGCAAGAGTTAGCCTGTGAGTGAATTGGCCGCAAAGAACGGATTGAGGATTCAACCGCTGGTTTGGCAGTTTTCGTAGGTTGGACTTCGGGTCCAAACCCAAGTCTGGACTTATTGGGATATGAAGGTAAACGTGCGTCATGTAATGCACAAACCATGTGATTGACCAAAATGAAGTTTATCGTGCAGCTGTCGAATCATACTTGGTTTAAAGTCGTGAAGACCAGGATAGCCAACATCATTAGGGTAAAATTAAAAATGTCTAAACGAATGACTGTCCCCGGAAAGCGTTTTGGGCTTTTATTTGATCTACATAACTCGCTTATGACCTTGAAGTGACTCTGGCTACTGCAGTTTCGTGGTCTCATTCACGCACTAACGCCCTGGTTGGTTTTCCTTTCGCAGGAAAATTCGTGGAGAACTGGAGCGCACCGAACAGGAGATCCGTCGTCGAGTATCGATCTCAAACCAAGACGTTACGAAAACGACTATTACCTGTATTCTTTGCGGCCGGTCAGAAAGCCACACTAACTTAAAACGGATACCGGATACACAATGGGCTGTTTGCGCCGACTGTGGCAACCATGCTTGTCACAACTGCGGTTCCTTCCTTGGTAAGACGGCAGACAAAGTAAGTGTCATCATGGTTCAAAAAAATACTCACGCATACGCGGTGCTATCAGGCTGATTCAGTGGACAACAACTTGGACAACTGATCTTATCTAAGGCCTTATTTTTCCTATTTTCTTACCCTTGTTGAGCGTTGATTAATGAAAGATAATAACAGTGGTTATAATTTAAAAAAAGCAATAATAATAATGTTATTTCGAACAGACAGTAAATTGTTAGCCTGTTTAGGGTAGCAGTATAGTCTTGTGGGAATGATATCATCCCTCAGTGGAGAATTTGTCCCTCCAGTGAATCCAGTCGATGCTGACAAGCGAGGGAGCACTGTACAGTTTTCACTTATTGTGAAACATCAGCGGTGTGCATCTGAAGGAATTACAGAGAGTCTCGAACCTGTGACCTCCAGGTTAGCAGTTTGAACACTAAATCGTTCGGCCGCGATTGGACTCAGGTAGGATATAGCGTGGCTTATCCTTCAATCACGCGATCCACATCACGTGGTCACATGTTGACTGGCTCCCAGGGCAACGAATTCTCACATGAAAGTTCCACTAAAGGGGTGGATTTTACTCTCTTCTGAGCTACTTATAAATAGTTGGTAGTGTGAGCAGATTGGGGAATTTCAATTATCTCGTAATTGAAGCCAATCTATGCGGAAGATCCCGATAAGGATGAAAGGTATACAATGATTTTATGCTTTTCAGCATAAATTGGCTTCACTTACAGGACATAAAAGCTGAAACGGACGGACTCAAACATATGTGTGCAGTGGCCGGGTCAAAGTTAGACCGAAGATTAGAATAACGGTAGAATTCTACACTTGAGGGTCATCTTAACCCAATTTGTTAGAGAAAAAGGATGACATCTACTTAGAGGCGGACATTTTGTCCAATTAATTTCATTGGCCGATTTATTACCGCCCAAAAGATGAAATAATAACGCACATTTTTTCGAATAAGTAAACGAGTGCACATTTGGGATTACATATTTGGGGTGGTTACCAGGACTTACCAGACGTATAATGCACATATCCTGTCATAGAACTTAGTAAAACGTAGGTTTGATGGAAACCCGGGAACTGCGACTACGTAATTAGCCCCGAGAAGGGAAAAACGGATTTTGAGCAATCTTGTGAGTAATTTCTCTCATCTTGCGTAGTAACGCAGTATCACGCAGGTGCGTGTGAGCATTTGGCGTGGATCTTCAGGTTCCCCGTGATCTGACCACTATCCCCTCTTCCTGTCCCGATCCTGCACTGGCAAAGGGTTTCACACCGCTTACGCTGGGTGCTCATCGCTTGGCCTTTTGCCCATAAATAGTCCAAAATCAGCTGACTGACTTGCTGCACTACGTAAAGCCGCGTCACAGAATCCCTAGCTAAATCCGCTATAGTTCTACAATGATTTGATCTACCAGTCCACAATCGAGAAACTAAACGAACAGATATCCGAAACTAGCATATCACTTGGAGGGGCTGCACATAACCATAATTCATATGAGATCACGATTTAATGGAGGGAGGGACTTTAGATAGAAGTTTTCTAGAAGCTGATCACTCAGGCTATAGCTATAGGAACATTGAAAGCAACCTTAATATAACTATTAGAACTACCGATGTTTTTTTTGAAGTCACCTTTCTGGTAATGTTAAAAATCACTGGTTGGTACTCCTGTACATAACGCAAGATTATTGACTCTCAACTCTTCATTTTACTCAATAAAAGTAAGTATTATCATTGCAAAGGAGAACAGCCCACGTGCTGAGGAGAACCGCCCACATTCTGGCAGGGCCCTCTTCCGAGAATCCATCGTTTGAGCAGCCAATCCATAAAAGGTCGTATGATGTGAACTGTGTTACTGAGCGATGAACGGTGTGACATCCTGTCCAATCACATTGCTGAACAACCACCTGTGGCCGAATATTGTATTTTTTAGAATCTCGACAAGAGGTTCGGTTCCTTAACACAATTTATGCACTCCTCTACAAGACTGTGTTCTCTTCCAGAGACACGATAACACAACTGGTATGCAGCAGATTCCTGCAAGCGATACACTGCCGACGTATCGATTGCTATCAATTTCTCCAAAAACTTGAATAAAACTGGACCATTCAGCATGGATGGCGCTATCGTTGCTTACTGCAAGGGAAGACCTAAATCCTATGACTTTTGGGACAAGGGGCTAGTTACCCCACATCTCGGGGAAAACCTGGGGTAAAGGAGTGAAAACTGCTCGCTTCCGAAGAGTTGTCTCTTCTGGGAGGTCTGGTAACGTTAAAGCGGGCTTGAGTAAAACTGATATATTTTGAAAAAGAACTTTTGTAGAGGTAATTTCTCAAGATGGAAACGGTTTTATACACGAATAATGTATATCTTTCGCATTTTTTGCTTGACTACTTCCACACTGAGCCGTCATATCAACAGTCTTGTCACAAGCTGCATCATTAGAACCCGAAAATGTGAGCCATTCATAGGCAGATAATCCACGCTTCTGGGAAACACAGAAAATACAAATATCGTAAATGTTTCCTTCTCCACAGGATCCTGTATGGCTGTGCAACTTTTGTCAGAAAAAGCGGAAGTTGGAGATCAGCTCCGGTGCTTGGCTTACCAACCTGACAGCGACATCGAAACAATCAAAAACGCTGAAAAAATATTTGGCTGTAAGTCACTTGTGGATTCCTATTTTGTTCGAAAACGAAAAACGGAGTTGTGACAGCGGTTTGTATCCGTGCATGGTGAATACTAACCCTGACCCACCATATCCTTAAGTGAGCCCATTTATCTGTATCCAAGTTGTAGATTTCTAGTAGGTCCAACCTCTAGAGGTTCTTTACTGTTGGGCTTATCATAAAGTTCACAGTCTCTAGAAAACACAAATTTCATTGAACTGCTCACAATGAGTGCATCGAATTAGGGCACTGCACACGCTATACTACGGCGGACCACCATATGGTATATGCAGTCAGTACTTGTAGTGTTTGTTGTCCGTAGCCTCATGTAAGTAGTATATAGAGTAAATGAACACGTGAAAGCTTACGCATATGAATAATTGATATTAACGTCAAACTCACTAGTCAACAGTGACGCGTGTGCATAGTGCGGGAACCACGGTTTGCGCTGAGCCCAAGTCCTCGGCACCCGTGTGGACTCAAAGGACTAAGGTCGGCGGGTCTGTTACACATCACCATCCGATCTAGTTATGATGTCTAACAGAGAGCATCGACAGCAGTCACTTTGTTATGATTGGGCTACAGGTGTCATACGGCGTTCACGACGAGTTCGCCGTCTCTATAGCGTCTAAACCTCACTGAGGTAGAACAGTGAATACAGCACAGCACCCCGATACACTGCAATTTCGTTGTCTATGCGCAATTGGTGATGGCTCCAGAAACCTCACTGAGGTAGAACAGTGAATACAGCACAGCACCCCGATACACTGCAATTTTGTTGTCTATGCGCAATTGGTGATTGCTCCAGACGCTTTTTCAAAGTGATCAACCGGTTTTTGGAATTCATACGTTTTATTTGCTGTTAATTATCAGATCTGTAGTAGTGTGCTGCTAAAGCAGCCGAAATATTGGCTATAGTTTATTTCATAACCATTTAGCTGCATATTTGGTGTTTTATGTCGAACCTCCGGTGCAGGCTGATAAATGACAGGCGTTTTAGGAGTAGTTATATTGAAGCCAAAACTAGATACTGTTGAACAAAACACCACAGTTTGTGGTGCTGCTCTAGAATGCCACAGGCAGCAACATACGGACATTCGGCATGCGCAACAATGCTTTGGTCAGGAACATAATCATCCATTTGCGGTGGCGGAGCACCTCTGCGCGGATGTTTGTTAAGTAGAGGGTGAAAATGGTTGAGGCAAGAACAAAACCTTGCTTCAATCCGATATCGATCAATAAATCGTTCTAGATAGTTGTGCACATCTGTCTCCGGGCTTTCATCCCAGTGTGAAAGGCCGTGATGAGGCTGGCAAATCCGTCTGTCAGCCAAGCTTTCGTGGGACAACCCACAGTGCTTCTTCACTGACTGAGTAGAAGTCTTTGGTGAGGCACACAAGCAGTCCATGGAGTTTTTGATTCGGTTCACGCATTCCTCCTGGGGTCGTCTTGCGTCAAAAAGGAATTCAATAAAGCTTATAACGCTCTAAAATGTACATTGCTCTTCAGGAGCGTTTTCCTTCAGAATTTCAGCGACTAGTCGCTATAGCATGATACGAAGCACAATCTTTCCCGCTGTATGCGCTAGTTTTCTGCCTTCTGTCGACTTCATTTCCCCTTATACAGAGGAATCGAATTTGCATCCTTGAATTTTTACTGAACTACTTCTATCTCCCAAGTTGTACACTGTACAGTCTCAGTCTTCCAAACATGAGCAGTTCGATTCGGCTTCTCTCCCATTTGGAATGTCAGTAGTTCTGCTGTTGTATGTTGGGATGGGTGGGTTTACAGTGCAAAACAACATCTCATGGCAAGTTGGGTATTGCGTAAAGAGTGGCGTTTCCAAGTTGATACGAATTCGTACGGTTTGTTAGTTTTTTGTCAGTTTGTTTGTCTTCTTTTATATGAATATATTAGACTTTCCATTCGTGGATTTTCTTCAGTCCGATAAGGACAACAGCAATCCACGTATGTTTGCTGCTATTCGTTACCGGAATCTCGACCTTGGCGCTTCTGAGTTTTTATCGAGCCAGTATGTTTTTCCGTTCATGAACTGTTTAGCGGAACGCTAAATTCTCCTTTTGAACCATGGTGAATACCAAACCGATTTCGCTCGTTCCTGCTTTCATCCAATTGTATCCTCAACAGTCGCCTGGATACGCTTTCGTCTTCAGCCCACTGAATTTTGGGTGTGTTGGGGACTTGGTTATGCACCGGCCTTTGTATTGGGGATTCGATGTGATCCGTGTCATATTCAGCCCCGAACAGCACACTTGTTATCATTCTGCCACAAGATTATATACGCGATCAAGTGCGCTGTTGGCGCACTGAAGATGTCTCCTCGAATGGTGACGAGACGTTTGCAAATCAATTGCCAAGCTCGGCGAACAGATCAACAGCCACCTGATCAATTACCAACTAATACACCCGAGCTACCAATATTCCAACACATTACCAACAATGAAATCACTCAGAAAGAATGGAGAGTCGCTTCAGGGCGCAGATCTGACCAAGTCCCATAGCTTGTCGTAGAATTTGTTCTCTTAATGTAACGTTGTATATTTGCTGGCGATAGTGGCATACCTCGCCCTTGACAATCAGAATAGTTGGCTACCATTCTCGAGCTGATGTAGTTCGGCTTATCCATTGTTCTCTGCTTCATGTGGTTTACGAGTGCGAATTTCACACATCCTCAGTGTCAGGATTCTTGGGGTATCCTATTAGAATACAAAATATTACTAGAGCCAGCCCATCATAGCTTTCCTTGACCAGATAACCGTGTATCACTGAGTGTGACTAGATTTATTCTGTGGCATCTGAATATTTTTGCAACGAGAACAGTTGGCCTTTCAGGGTTGTTTGCTACATTTTTATCTAGGTGGTTCCTCACTTACTAGAATTCAAGTCGTAATTTCCTTGCTTTACGTTTCGTGCAGACTGGTTAAGCATTTTGACTGCTACCACCCAAAGCCGGGTAGCCACAGGAGTCTGCCATTATTTTCATATTGTATACGTAACTGAATAACCGTACATGTCGTTCACTTTTATTTTAACGTTACTGGCCTTCAGTTCTAGTAATCCTCCCTCAATTTGTTCACTCGGTTTCTCGGTAGGTCATCTGTTCCCCACTAGCCATTTACCAGTAGCTTAGCTGACAATGTTTAAATTGCGGCACTTATCCGTTCGTTTCATCTTTACCCCATCCAGCACAAGCGACCACTTGCTCGTACGTCTTCATTCACGCAATATGAAGAATGGATTGATCGGGTTGGAGAGGATACACCAAGTGACACAAGCAGTCAAGATGAACAACCCAACGTGGTGCCAAAAGACACGAGGCGATTCAGTGATACACATTTTCTTTCGCAGGTGTATCGAGGTCGTCGGTATCTCATGGAGCATGTTTCCCCTGAATGCAATCGGCAAGGCAAACATCTTGAACCGTGTTCTCCTAACCACTCACAGAGATCAGAGGAGACTGTAAGTAAGAAGGATAGTGGTCACGCTTCTTCAGCAGACGAGATACAGTCTAATGAAATGGACCAAGAGACTGATAATGTGATTCCACCGCAAGAAGTTAGGATAACGCCTCAAGAGACGGCAGCGATAAATGCGCAATCAGAAACAGTTCCCGCTATCAAGCAAACTGATATTGGAGTCAAAGCACTGGATGAACCCGGAGGATCAACCGGAAGATAGGATACCAAGTTGCGATCTCTCAGGTAATCTAGTACGGTTTCTCAGGTTTGGATAATTCTGGTTCTATGCGCTGCCCATTCGTTTTAAATTCACTCTGATCTCTTTAATGATGGTTTCCACTTGGCATTCTGGCTGCTCGCCATCTCATATTATCCTCTCATATCTCCCCTGGCAACTCATATGGTTTCACTCTTAACGTCCATTTGTCGAACCGCTGCTGGACGACAAATCTAGGTTCAGACACCTGATGATCCTCGCTACGTCTGGATGATCTTGGTTTTCCCGTTGTTAAGATACGGGCGCTCGTATGGTAATATTTGGGAGCAAGAAAATTGTAAACGTTGTGTCCATGGATGGAAGTAAATCTAACAAAGGTTGACGCTGTAGTACAGAATACCTATGGTTTGATGTGGTAGCTTGATGCGCGTTCCGAGTCCCGCATACGTGAGTGGTCGCACGGGTATCGGTACTGAGGGCTGAACCTGTTGGTTAGATGTGGTCGGAGTACGCCTAGGTTACCAAACGGCTGCACAGAAGAACCAGTTGTGCAACTATAACAACACTTCTAGGAAAGCTTATTCTATGAAAATGAACGTTATTCTCGGCAAATACACTCATTTGCATATCAGTCGGGTTTTGACGGGAGACTGACCTACAATCCAGTATGAGTACATCGTAAATGAGAGATTCGGCAGGGTTCCATGTGAGACCCCTCCGGCAGAACCAAATTTATTTGCGGTCGAGTGTATTTGTCGAAACCTGTCCAATTTGGGTTGAGGTAGAACATAAAGTTGCCGGAAACTCGCGGACTGCGCCTACTTGGTGAGCTCTACGAAGGGGGAAACCGGTCGTGGGCTGTCGAAGAGTTTTCAGCAACCTTCTGAGTAGTGTATTACGCTTATGACTGTTATTTTGTTCCAGAAACACTCATGGATGCAAGGTCTTCAGACATGCTTTTAGGGGATGGGGTACCTATAACAAGTAGTTAAAACAATCATTTCCCTATCTTGGTAGTAGACAAGCAGACCGTATGGCAAAAATTCACTCTAATCTTAACAATGGAACTCCAACTGGCCCGGGTTTGTAGTGCCGGACCTGCCGAAAGATCGATACTTATGTTTTCATAATTTTGTATAAGATTTCGTTTTATTTATGCACAATGAAGCGGCTTCATCGTTATACGCTTCCAAACTGGCCACCAAACCAGCCTACTAGTGAGTAGTTGGTCCACCAAAGCCTGGGTACAGCTTATTTAGCACGGTCCGGCCCCAGTACGACCAGCTCGGTCTTACGTTCCGCCTGGAGAGGCTAACGTAGCGACCGACCAATACGGGAGCTCGCACAACTGCCGGTGTGGCCTATGGTGAGCGATCGATATTGGATCTGTGAGAGTAGGTTTGACAGCTGCATTTGCTTCTTGGGCAGCTTCGACTGCACACAATACGTTGTGAGAAGTTCAATCTGCCAGTATAGATACCCCAAGTCACCTTAGGTCTCAGCGAACTGATGTATGCGCTAACGCATCATTCGCAGTTGAGGAACTCTAGAACGCAGTACAAATGTTTCAATGAGTCATTTTGACGTTCGTGACTGGGAAGAGGTGAGTGACCTTTGGAACTTCTCATTTCGTGTTCAGTTTGCCCACTAATCCATTTATGCTAGGCTTGATCAAGTCAGACTGCCCGTGTCAAATATGAACTATTTAGTAGTGCGTTTGTTCCTCAAACGTTTTCCTAATTGAGCCTAACGAGTAGTTTTCTTGGACATAGAGGAGTAACAGCACTACTAAGTGATAGGTCAATGATGTCTTGTTCCCAGCATTTCGTATCGTACAATTGGAAAGCACCATTCTATATTTAGTTGACAGAATTAGAGCTGGGATTTTATTCACTAGTTTGTGAAACTTGACACACGTTTGCAAGTACTTCACTTGAAATCTCTGCATGGTTTCAGATCCAGTTTAGTTTATATGGATGTCTTGCTGCATTCAGGACCCGTGCTCAATCTGGGCAAACTGATGAGGGACTGGTTTAGTTCCTTCGTGTAGTTTTGGTGTTAATCCTTTGATGCATGAACAGTCTTCAGTCACCACCAGATTCACCACAACTGTCATTCGTCTTCCATAAGTCCTGAGTGGTAGCATTTGTAACCTGTATGTGTTGTCTTATTTTAACCTATTTCTTACCTCCCGACAGATGAACCAAATACAGCGCAGCGACTTGAAGATGCTCCTGACTTGGAATCACCATCAGAGACAGTTATTCACCCTGATACCTCTGAAGTGAAAACTTTATTTCTGCATCCAAAGCCATCCTGTTCTGAGCCCAAATCAGCGTCAACATCCACTGTGACGGAGAAGACCATTGGGATGATGTGGCCGCCTCGAGCTCTTTGGTTAAACGTCAATGAAAACCCTGCGAAGAACTGGTCCATTTACGACAGTTTCAATGAGTCTTTCAACGAAATAGACTATCCTGAATTTGAGGATTCCGCTATCAACCAGCAGCAAGTACCACTGTCGAAAGAGAAAGCATATGAGGAACTTTGGTTTGGTATTCAGCATGGTGCACAAGCATTTAAAAGTTATCCGCCCTCCCAGACTCTGGATCTTTGTTCGATTCCTACTGATGACCTTGACGAAGGGTCCCTCAGTCACAATGTGAAAGAGAGCACCCCTTCCCCAATAGAAACAAACCAAACAGCACACCCTGGTCCTTTTTATCAAACCAGGCCGGTTAAGAAGACAGAACAACTGGAAACTACGGAAAACATGGTTTCCTATCTTCCCAAGGAAGCACAGTGTGATCGTTTGGCAGTGTGTAAAAAACTAGACTCGGATGGCCATTTAGACGTCTTCTCAGAGGACTCAGTGACGCGAAATTCCCTCCGCAGATCGCCGAGTCCCACTGATCTAGAGGTTGTAGCAGAAACTGAACTCCCGCGCGTGAGCTGTAGCACGTCCGACGAAGATACTTGCACAACTGAAACATACATTGTTGCTGGTAGACAACCTGGTACAGAAGAGTCAGGATTACGTGAATCAGACGACACAAGAAATAAAACAGACTTTCAGTTTTTCCAGTCAGACTTAGGAGAACTTAGAGGTCCACAAAACCGAAGGGATAGGCAATTTGATGAATCCGACAACGAGTGGGCTAGAGTAGAGTTCGAAGCGTTTTACAACCCTGATTTTCAGTATACGGTTGGCGGTTCAACCGGTGTGAATTTGTCTTCTTTTGGACAAGTTTCCTGCTCTCAGCCAGGAGATGCCAATCAATATGTCACGCAGCAAAGCATTACTACCAGTCCCGAGATAATTTATCCGGGACTGGATACCTATGAACGATGGATAAGCGACATATCTCAGTTCAGTTACCCCGTGGAAGCCGTTTCAGGACAAACTGCTCTCACTGGTGTACCCGGCATTGTTGGGTTACGAAGATGTCCACATTTTGAAAATATCAGTGGTTTAACAGAGGCAACGGTTGTTGACAAAGAATCCGAGGTGTTGCCCACTCAAGGAGAGACAGAAGCGCAGGAACTGTTGGCGAATTCGAAAGAAGACACAGAAGAGTTCACAGCAAACGAGGAAAGGCCTACTCGTGTATGGTTTCGTGACGCTCATCTACAAGTTGAGGTAATTTCTAACTTATTCCATTCTTTGCATTCCGTTACGTCTGATTATTTGGAACTGAGGCGTGTAGATTGCTGTTTGAACAATTTGTTAACACTTCGACAACCATATTGTTCCTCCTTATTCAGTTACGGACCCATATTTAGGAGATGATGATAACTAAGTTACGCTCTTGCAAGTGAACGTATTATAATTAAGTTTGAATCGGCCGGATATAAAAAATCTCAGTCGGACTGGACCTCTTAATCCTACTGCGGTTCGCGAAGTTGCCACACAACTTCTGTTGGTGGCAAACTCAGTTGCACTAGTGTTGCGACAAGCTGAACGGTCGTGCAACTCTGTATCGGTCCTTGGCCTCCTGCTTCGCTCAAAAGGCTTCAGACAGCCATTTAGGGAGAAAAGGGAAGATTAGTACAACTGTATTTATAGGGTGATCACAGAATGTTCCACAAGGCCGTGCTAGAATCTCCGTGAGGGGGCGGGAAGCGTCGAGCTAAAGATGCTCGATCCAGATTGGTTGGGATTCTGACCAATCAGGGCATGCCTTCGTGCGTTCGTAGCCCACACGTGACATCCTTCCAATTGATGTGATGTTAAGTTATTGGGGACGGTTGGACTCCGGACAATTAAAATTGCTGACAAACGCGTCGTCTTTAGGTCGACTGATTGTAGCTCCGAACCATACGGTCACATGATCCCATCTACGTTTATTAAATGAAACGCTTTAAAGATGTACTTTTCGGGATCCAACCGCATTTGTTCACTGGGCTAACAATCACGCCCGAAGTCGACTTAAAGGTGGTCAGCAACTCTTCTTGGTGAAAAAATCGATTGTTGCATATAATTCGTAGTCAAATAGAGTTTCCTACCCAGTTTTCCTCTTCCTGCTTTGGTGTGGACTCACCAGAATAATTTAGCCAAGACTGGAGGATGACTGTTCAAATGGAAGTTATGTGAACTTGAGTTCTGCGTATCCCGCAAGCATCAACAGGCAATCAAAACTTGTACAGTAAGTTTCGGGTGTCCGTGGCGCTAAATGACTGGGAACACAACCAGAACAGTTGCTGAATCGTCGTTCCGGGCGCTGGGCAAGCCGGAAACTCGCGGACTGCGCCTACTTGGTGAGCTCTACGAAGGGGGAAACCGGTCGTGGGCTGTCGAAGAGTTTTCAGCAACCTTCTGAGTAGTGTATTACGCTTATGACTGTTATTTTGTTCCAGAAACACTCATGGATGCAAGGTCTTCAGACATGCTTTTAGGGGATGGGGTACCTATAACAAGTAGTTAAAACAATCATTTACCTATCTTGGTAGTAGACAAGCAGACCGTATGGCAAAAATTCACTCTAATCTTAACAATGGAACTCCAACTGGCCCGGGTTTGTAGTGCCGGACCTGCCGAAAGATCGATACTTATGTTTTCATAATTTTGTATAAGATTTCGTTTTATTTATGCACAATGAAGCGGCTTCATCGTTATACGCTTCCAAACTGGCCACCAAACCAGCCTACTAGTGAGTAGTTGGTCCACCAAAGCCTGGGTACAGCTTATTTAGCACGGTCCGGCCCCAGTACGACCAGCTCGGTCTTACGTTCCGCCTGGAGAGGCTAACGTAGCGACCGACCAATACGGGAGCTCGCACAACTGCCGGTGTGGCCTATGGTGAGCGATCGATATTGGATCTGTGAGAGTAGGTTTGACAGCTGCATTTGCTTCTTGGGCAGCTTCGACTGCACACAATACGTTGTGAGAAGTTCAATCTGCCAGTATAGATACCCCAAGTCACCTTAGGTCTCAGCGAACTGATGTATGCGCTAACGCATCATTCGCAGTTGAGGAACTCTAGAACGCAGTACAAATGTTTCAATGAGTCATTTTGACGTTCGTGACTGGGAAGAGGTGAGTGACCTTTGGAACTTCTCATTTCGTGTTCAGTTTGCCCACTAATCCATTTATGCTAGGCTTGATCAAGTCAGACTGCCCGTGTCAAATATGAACTATTTAGTAGTGCGTTTGTTCCTCAAACGTTTTCCTAATTGAGCCTAACGAGTAGTTTTCTTGGACATAGAGGAGTAACAGCACTACTAAGTGATAGGTCAATGATGTCTTGTTCCCAGCATTTCGTATCGTACAATTGGAAAGCACCATTCTATATTTAGTTGACAGAATTAGAGCTGGGATTTTATTCACTAGTTTGTGAAACTTGACACACGTTTGCAAGTACTTCACTTGAAATCTCTGCATGGTTTCAGATCCAGTTTAGTTTATATGGATGTCTTGCTGCATTCAGGACCCGTGCTCAATCTGGGCAAACTGATGAGGGACTGGTTTAGTTCCTTCGTGTAGTTTTGGTGTTAATCCTTTGATGCATGAACAGTCTTCAGTCACCACCAGATTCACCACAACTGTCATTCGTCTTCCATAAGTCCTGAGTGGTAGCATTTGTAACCTGTATGTGTTGTCTTATTTTAACCTATTTCTTACCTCCCGACAGATGAACCAAATACAGCGCAGCGACTTGAAGATGCTCCTGACTTGGAATCACCATCAGAGACAGTTATTCACCCTGATACCTCTGAAGTGAAAACTTTATTTCTGCATCCAAAGCCATCCTGTTCTGAGCCCAAATCAGCGTCAACATCCACTGTGACGGAGAAGACCATTGGGATGATGTGGCCGCCTCGAGCTCTTTGGTTAAACGTCAATGAAAACCCTGCGAAGAACTGGTCCATTTACGACAGTTTCAATGAGTCTTTCAACGAAATAGACTATCCTGAATTTGAGGATTCCGCTATCAACCAGCAGCAAGTACCACTGTCGAAAGAGAAAGCATATGAGGAACTTTGGTTTGGTATTCAGCATGGTGCACAAGCATTTAAAAGTTATCCGCCCTCCCAGACTCTGGATCTTTGTTCGATTCCTACTGATGACCTTGACGAAGGGTCCCTCAGTCACAATGTGAAAGAGAGCACCCCTTCCCCAATAGAAACAAACCAAACAGCACACCCTGGTCCTTTTTATCAAACCAGGCCGGTTAAGAAGACAGAACAACTGGAAACTACGGAAAACATGGTTTCCTATCTTCCCAAGGAAGCACAGTGTGATCGTTTGGCAGTGTGTAAAAAACTAGACTCGGATGGCCATTTAGACGTCTTCTCAGAGGACTCAGTGACGCGAAATTCCCTCCGCAGATCGCCGAGTCCCACTGATCTAGAGGTTGTAGCAGAAACTGAACTCCCGCGCGTGAGCTGTAGCACGTCCGACGAAGATACTTGCACAACTGAAACATACATTGTTGCTGGTAGACAACCTGGTACAGAAGAGTCAGGATTACGTGAATCAGACGACACAAGAAATAAAACAGACTTTCAGTTTTTCCAGTCAGACTTAGGAGAACTTAGAGGTCCACAAAACCGAAGGGATAGGCAATTTGATGAATCCGACAACGAGTGGGCTAGAGTAGAGTTCGAAGCGTTTTACAACCCTGATTTTCAGTATACGGTTGGCGGTTCAACCGGTGTGAATTTGTCTTCTTTTGGACAAGTTTCCTGCTCTCAGCCAGGAGATGCCAATCAATATGTCACGCAGCAAAGCATTACTACCAGTCCCGAGATAATTTATCCGGGACTGGATACCTATGAACGATGGATAAGCGACATATCTCAGTTCAGTTACCCCGTGGAAGCCGTTTCAGGACAAACTGCTCTCACTGGTGTACCCGGCATTGTTGGGTTACGAAGATGTCCACATTTTGAAAATATCAGTGGTTTAACAGAGGCAACGGTTGTTGACAAAGAATCCGAGGTGTTGCCCACTCAAGGAGAGACAGAAGCGCAGGAACTGTTGGCGAATTCGAAAGAAGACACAGAAGAGTTCACAGCAAACGAGGAAAGGCCTACTCGTGTATGGTTTCGTGACGCTCATCTACAAGTTGAGGTAATTTCTAACTTATTCCATTCTTTGCATTCCGTTACGTCTGATTATTTGGAACTGAGGCGTGTAGATTGCTGTTTGAACAATTTGTTAACACTTCGACAACCATATTGTTCCTCCTTATTCAGTTACGGACCCATATTTAGGAGATGATGATAACTAAGTTACGCTCTTGCAAGTGAACGTATTATAATTAAGTTTGAATCGGCCGGATATAAAAAATCTCAGTCGGACTGGACCTCTTAATCCTACTGCGGTTCGCGAAGTTGCCACACAACTTCTGTTGGTGGCAAACTCAGTTGCACTAGTGTTGCGACAAGCTGAACGGTCGTGCAACTCTGTATCGGTCCTTGGCCTCCTGCTTCGCTCAAAAGGCTTCAGACAGCCATTTAGGGAGAAAAGGGAAGATTAGTACAACTGTATTTATAGGGTGATCACAGAATGTTCCACAAGGCCGTGCTAGAATCTCCGTGAGGGGGCGGGAAGCGTCGAGCTAAAGATGCTCGATCCAGATTGGTTGGGATTCTGACCAATCAGGGCATGCCTTCGTGCGTTCGTAGCCCACACGTGACATCCTTCCAATTGATGTGATGTTAAGTTATTGGGGACGGTTGGACTCCGGACAATTAAAATTGCTGACAAACGCGTCGTCTTTAGGTCGACTGATTGTAGCTCCGAACCATACGGTCACATGATCCCATCTACGTTTATTAAATGAAACGCTTTAAAGATGTACTTTTCGGGATCCAACCGCATTTGTTCACTGGGCTAACAATCACGCCCGAAGTCGACTTAAAGGTGGTCAGCAACTCTTCTTGGTGAAAAAATCGATTGTTGCATATAATTCGTAGTCAAATAGAGTTTCCTACCCAGTTTTCCTCTTCCTGCTTTGGTGTGGACTCACCAGAATAATTTAGCCAAGACTGGAGGATGACTGTTCAAATGGAAGTTATGTGAACTTGAGTTCTGCGTATCCCGCAAGCATCAACAGGCAATCAAAACTTGTACAGTAAGTTTCGGGTGTCCGTGGCGCTAAATGACTGGGAACACAACCAGAACAGTTGCTGAATCGTCGTTCCGGGCGCTGGGCAAACCAATCACATCACTCAAGTGGGAACACGTTGGTCTGTTCGGACGTGAGAATTCGCATGTCCAACGCGCGCCGGTGGAGTGGGACTAACACGCAAATCTCACGTGTCAGATGCCTGCAGTTCGAACCTCGGCACAGCCAAGATCCAATAAGGGCGTCAAGTCAACTGTGGACTCATCAGAATTACGGTGCCAGGACAGAAGGATGATTTTTTAAACAACAAGACTGTAAACGTGAAAATAAGAAAAATTTGACATTACTAAAAACACTCAATTACAAACCTATTTGGTTTTGCGGGAGACTCATCCGGAACTGGATGTGCTTCACCAGGCTGGCTTAAGTTTCACTTGGCACGATACTCGAGATATCGCGATGCATGTGTAGACGTAATACACTACATATAAGGTTGCTGAAAACCCTTCGGCAGCCCACGACCGGGGTTCGTCAGGTAGGCGCAGGCCCTGAGTTTCTGTCGACCTTATGTTCTACTTGAACTCAAATTGGACAGGTTTCGACAACTGCAGTCATTCGCGTACTACTTGTGTTTTGCGTACTAGCGCGTATTGTACTACGGCATCTTTAGAGTTGTCCTGCTCAGAATGACGCCGTTTAGTATCCAATTCATTAGATTGGGAGAAAGCAACAGTGGAAAAATTTGAAATGAGGTTCTGCAAACTCACACAAGATTGTTGTTAATTTGTTACCACCATTGTGTTCCCACCAATGTGACATGTCGTAGCTACACGGTGTCCCATATCCTGCAGCAGTTTCAAATTGTTCTGTGTTAAGCGCTTTCCTTGGCTGAGAAAGCATTTGGAGCAGGCTTGACTGATTTCATACTGTGTTGGTAGAGTCGGTTTAATTGAGATGCATTGTTCAGCCCAAGGTGGCGATGGACAGGCTTTAATGGTAATGTCGCTACTTATGGCCGAAATCTGCTTTTGGACGAAGCCATCCCCAGAACAACTGAAAGCAATTAATAGGAAACATCAAATATTCTTTTTGGTTTGAACGTTACTGATAAAATACCGTATGCATTGGTGTCACTCTACCGCGAGCAACTCCAATCATATGCTACGGAAGTTTCTGTCGGCTGGCGCCCCTAATTTTCGCCCAAAGTTTCTTGAATACTTTACCGCTGCATACTTCTAAAAAGCTCTGCTACTCTTTGGACGGTGGATGTGCATCGGCTATCTCGGATCGGGGCTGTGAGCCACCATTTGAGATCGCATCTTTTAAATTTTGTGCTACTTCTACTAGATAAGTAGCAATAAAATCAGTGGTTTTAGCCATGCCCTGCAAGAAATGGATCCTAGTGGACAGGTTCTGCGCTGTGTACAACACGTCACGTAATGTCGGTGCAGTGGCACTTTATAATAGTTTTCTCCGGTTGACTAGACATTCGATCATGCTACGTACTCTGAGCTGGCTATTCCTCACATTAGTATGAACTATTGTGTGACTTATGTAGGTATGTTTAGAAGAGGAATTGGGAAAAAACCCGGGTAGAACTATTTAAACCAACTCTACCCGTCCACTTGGGACTAAGGTGGAACATCCAAATAAGTCAAAATGAACTCTAAAAGTCTGATGCAAATTGATTGCGTATGTTTATGGGTTTTTGTGTTCCTGACGTTGGCAGAATGTTTTTCCGACAAGAAAATTAACGATTGTACTAAATATATATATATATATGAATCTCCCACTAAGTCTGTTGAAAACTTCAGACCTTTTAGGATCAGGTTGAGTTCAAAATTGGTTGACGATTTTCATCTCACTCAACCCTGCACCGACGATGTCACCCCGATTGGTGATGAAACGTTTGCAATCCAACTACCAAGCACGGCGAACAGACTAACAACCACGATTTTCATCATCTACTGAGGAACACTTAAATCAGTTGGGTGACATCGGTATCAGTACACACAGTTCAAAATTCATTTCCTACATCAGTTTGTTTGTAACCTCTGGACACAGAAGAAGGATTGATGGAATGCAATTGCCTTAGTCCTAATTCACTTACGAAAACCCACAACTAGATTGCATATTCAAAGGCTTCTTTCTCCCCTTAGAACCCATCAACCACGGAGAAACCCAACTTCTCCATGACATTACGGCAGGAAGATGAACTATGGGCCGCTCTTTTCAACCCATCGGAGTCTCTTGTCGAATCAGCGAAAGAAGTCTCGGCGCAGCTAGATTTGTTGTCATTTGGAGGGGAAGAAGACTTCCAGGTCCAGACTTCAAGGTCTGCCGACCTTCTTCCGATCCCTCCTGAAGAAACACCGGTAAGTAGGAAGGCAGCATGCTCATCTTTGTGCCGTCTCAGATAAACTACACAATCGATCTTCAAATGGTTTCAGTAGTATGACGTCACTCATTGCTGCTCTGGGGCCTAATAGCATTGAAGATGCAATTATTTAGCGTTTGCGGTCCAGATATTTTACTTCATACTTGTAATTTACACGGCGAATTCATTATTGAGTATGCCCAAACTTCACTGGGAAATCATTTTAACCGTTTCGACCCGTAACAACCGTGTTGTTCATTCAGACAATAACCGATTGGAAAAGGGTGATTACTTGTACAATACCAGAGTGGAACCCTTTTGTTTTACAGTTGTTGCTGTGATGAGCTTATTTTGATTTTCTTGTATTCCAACCAAACACTGTTTCGGAGGTCACTAATAACACAGCCAGTAATATAGTAGGACATTTTCAGTCTGTGAGTCCCAAGGTGGATCTCGTATTCAACAAAATGCTCGGTTGAATTAGTCGATTGTGGTTTTTGCTGTGGTGGTAAGTTTCCTTCGTCAGTTTATGCCTAAAACTGGATGAGCGCTACAAGTTCTTCAAAGGTTATCCGTTAGCCAACAAAAAACATATTTAGCGGAAGGGGGAGGAGGAGTTGGAGCTGTCTCACTTTGATGGAATTGCACCAAATTCAGTTAGTCCTCTTTGTAATCTTCGGTACGATTCTTTCACAGTCCAACCTGTAGTTTGACCTAATCCCGCTGGCTGGCAAACTCAACTACAGATATCGCCCTTTACACAATTCTAGCGACCTTATCCAAGGAGAAGTAAGCTCTGGAAATTCAGAGGTTATACCTTGTGGCTTCATTCACACATCTTAGCCACCTAGAATTCGTTGAACAGCTTGTTTAAATTGATTAGGAAATAGAGACGTGAGATTTGGATCAATTGTTGGTTTCTGCTCCTAATGAGCCGATGGGTATGTCTGGAATGCCAGCTTATTGGGACTAAAGTTCCCATTTCAATCATCGTTTTCGTCCAGTGCCACTGCAATTGACACAAGCCTGTTTCAGACGATTTCAGCGAGAGCTACCCTTGCGATTTGCAGCATATCAGAAGGCAGCTGATAAACAGTGTACTGTATCTTCATCAAGGCTTGTCCATACATAAATATAGAATGGCTAGTTTGCCACCTAATGAGCAGTTGACATGTTATGCGCTACTTTTTATTCTGACTTTTCGTTGATTTACCAGTCTGTGGAACATTTGTGGCTGCCGTCGCTCGGCCGTAGTGGTTACCAAAGCCCCACGATTACCTCGTGCCTGGACGAACGTCTGCGCGTGGAGACAATCTCGAGCCCTGGCTCCTGTACTTTGCGGCCTACAGTAAATGTCCTGTAACTTGCGGAATAGCGGGCTACCAACTGCAGCGATCGGTTGGACAGTGAACACCGTCGCAAGCACACTCGTCATTTGTTCACAAGATGATGAAGATCCCCTTTGGAAAATTACTGCACACTAAGGGTGAATACATGTGCTAAACTGTAGAAAAATATGGATGAATGAATGTGGAAGCGATCGGAGCCCAGAGCGAAGACACGTTATGTCTCTAGGAATAGATGCTTTGAAATTCAAGCCGCATCAAATTCGGCATATTTGAGCACTGAATCGAACTAAATTGTTATCAGTGAAGTTGAGAAGCATCCTTACTAGCCTCGCTCATAATAAGTCCGTTGAATAACGACCGAAAGAGTTTTATTAAACTGTGCAATTAGGGAGTGAATGTACGCTGGGGTTAGTTGCATTCGATGCCTACTCAGATGTACATGCGTTTTTCAAGAGAACAATGTAGACAGCAGTCATGAAGAGGTGATTACTTGATTACCTGACAAGGTATTTGGAATCCAGTCAGGTGAGCATTGCGATTGGTTGGTAGATTTTAGAGCAAAACACAACATAACCAGAGGAACTGGTGCAACCGAAATAAGTGTCTAAACATGGCTCTTCATGCTGTTGGTAAGATTTTCTGACACCTTAATTAACACAATTCGGCAAACTTTGCTCGTGTCATGATACTGTGTTTATTGCTTCATATCATAGTACAATCGTGAGTTGTGCACCTCCTCAGATAAGTTAATGTCTAAAGCAGTTAAACCGTTCTCTTCGAGGATTCAAGAAAGTACAAGAGACGCCACAAACTTACTTCAAGACTTCTCATCTCAAAGGTACATACTAGAGCAAAATGTCACTCCCATGTGCAACTGACAACAGCTTGAACGGAGTTCTGAGCATCAAGTAACAAAACAAAGTTACCCATACGATCTTGGTTCACCCTTTTTTATCTATTTGATATATCCACCTCGACCCACGACCTCTGGGTTTGAACATTCTTTTATCTGATTACTAGAAAAAATGAACAAAATAAAGTAGACAGCCCTGAAATTTGCCTGAATTTCGGGAACAAAAGCGACTGGATTTGTGAACACGAAGGACATAATCAAGAATTTTCATTTGACCGCCTAATCGTACAAGGGTCGGTCTATTGACAAAGTTTAATGCCCCCTTTTTATCGGGAATATCATTTATTTGTTGAATCGGCGTGGGCTTGCCCCCGCTTAAACAACTCATGTAAAATGCTTTACGTTATCCAAGCCATTCAGGATCTCACACCTCAGGACCTCACTCACATCCCGAAGCTAGGCATCGTCGTTATAGTGAGGCCAGTTGCTGTGTGGTGACCGAAGTAAGCTTTGCATTCACATGATTAGGTCAGTCGCTTGGGTCACGTTTTTAAATTGATGTACACTTTCTGCTTGGCCCCGGTCGACTGGAACACCTACTTCCTTACAATTTCGTATGCTTTACTAGATAAGTAAAACTAAGAATCAGCAGTTTTGCATGGAGTTAATAAAACTTCATCTGGCTTTACAGCTGAACAGGTTTTCAATGTGGGAATATGTATGATTAGCTCATTCATCAAGATGTTGCTTAGTCAATGATATCTAACTGACTTCGAAACTAAACTGTGCTTGCCGTTCTAAGAGAGGCAACATCTAACTTCAGGATGCGTGAGAGACAGTTATGAAATTCCATACCTAATACTTGGGTACCATGTACCGAATTTCTCGCCATTTGTATGACGGTGGCTATCTTGTCTGGGTCACAGCAGAGGTCTTCCGAGGTCATCTGTTAACAGTTCATGTGAATGGCACTGCTGAGTTTTTGTTTACCTTCGTAATGTGTCGAAAAATTGGTAGCTCGGGTGAGTTTAATGGTGGCTGTTGATCTGTTCGCCGAGCTTGGCAATTGACTTGCAAACGTTTCGTCACCATACGAAGAGACATCATCAGACATCATCCCACCCAATTGTGCACTGATGATGTCTCCTCGTTTGGTAACGAAACGTTTGCAAGTCACTTGCGAAGCTCGGCGAACAGATCAACAGCCACCTGATCAACAACCGGTGTGAGCTCGTCTTCTAGTTTTCACTTGAAGTCACAATTGGACGAGAGCACAATCGAAATGATTACACGGAAGATCGCAAATCAAGAATTTAGTCTTTCAGCTGTTTGTATACGTTCTGGAATCGTTCGAGGCAGCATTTTATCAGATAACTGGACTGCATCCACTTCACCTAAGATCAGTACCACGAAGGAACAGTTGATGATTAATGTGGAGCTACCGAAGGTGTCACAGTTATTATTGTTCCTATTTGTATCATTCTTACCGTTGGTAACATGCTAATTAGGTATTGGCCTATACCAGTTTTCTACCACCTAGCTTGTGTCCGTTTATTCCTCAGGTTACACACTCAACTGGTACTTCTTCCCCGGATTCGCGTCAAAACACCACTCACTTCTCGTCGGTGCTTCGTGCTTCAGCATCCGAGGATCAAATTTCCGAGATACCTGTTACTCTTAAAACCGATGTACCACGCCAAAAATATCAAACACCTTCAAGGACTGTTTCCGAATCTCTCCACTCCTGGTTATGCGATCAGGCCTACATTAATTCTTCCATCTTTTCCGGAAACGCGGAATTCGGGCGACAAGAATCCGGTGGACCATTGCGACCGACATCGTCTCCTCCAAATAAGCAATTAGACTTGCTTTCCTATGAGCCCCATCTAGAACAACATCTCGAGTTTAGAAATGAAACTGCGCAGACCACGGATCATTCAGCTAACAGTGACAATCGCTCGACTGCATCAGGAAGTCCAGATGGGACAGGCGATTATCGGGAAGCGCTAAACTCTGCTAGGATAGATGATGATCAAAGTGTGTTAGCTCAGACGGGAAATCGAAGCATTTCAGGCTGTGGGATTGACCGACCAAAAGGCGCGAGAGAGACACACGTGATACAGCAACATGCCAACACGCCAAACGGATTGGCCAGATGGGAGGGACGAAAATTACCACACTTGCCCAGTAGCTACGTGGGTGGGGTTGGTCCCGACGATCAGACAGACCTATGGGAGGAACACAAGTCTGAGGAATTTGGGCAAGATGCCAAGCCAGTGAGCAGCACATCAACTACAGTGGCCGATGTGGACCAATCGATTGGAAGTTTCGTTTTCTCTATTGGTCCAGGCCAGGCCGGTGATGAATACCGCGCAAACAGTAGGGGAAATAAAAACAAATACGTTCTGTTAGATTCCGAAAGCAAACCAAGTTACGTTCTGCGTGAAGTTTTTCCTCATTCTCCGAAGAACTCAATAGAGTCGGAAATTGTGTGTACTCATCTGCAACAGTCTTGTGAGAAATTACATCCTACAAAAACACCTGTTCTAGTTGAGGAAGTTGATTCGAAGGACATAAACACAAGTTCGGCACTTATTCTACCTCAGCAGCAAGTCACCCCCTCCGAAGACACAGATACATATACCACACCGAAAAACGTTTCCATTTGTAAAAAGGATAGCTGTACTGAAACTTCAGAAACTGCATACACCTTTGCACAAGACGCTACAAGTCATTCACCCCAACGGTCTTCTAAAAAACGAGACCTAGTTTCCGTGAGATCAAGAAAACGAGATTCTACTCACAAATACTTTGCACTTACTGAATGGATTCCATCGAATTCATCCGGTTCTTCTTCCGTCACACTAGCTTTCCCACTAGATCACGGTTTGCAGATTGCGCGGAATACATTAGTTTCCCAAAGTGCATACAGTTCTGAGGACATAGACAGTTTTCTTACATTTTTGGAAAGTCCGATTGATGCACTTCCCCAAAGACCAGAATTATTACAGTCTGGATTATTTCCGTACACAAGTTGTTGTGCTCCATGGAGACCATGTCCCTTGGCAGAGTTGTTTCCATATCCACCAAGTGATACCGATAGAGATCTTGTGATTACAACAGAACCTGTGAACATACAAAGCATACCAGAAGCCACCCAATACGTAACGAAACGTACATTCAAGAACACCTACGAAAAAGTTGTAATTTATGAAAGGTCCCAGGCGAATCTGAGTCCTCGCGTAAATTTCCTTGAGCGCATCCAAGAAGAAACCGTCCTAACCTCTGAAGAGGATAGTGTTGTTCAACAAAAAACACCGGAACGTAAGGTGATGTCTTCGTCTTCGAGTTCTCGTGGATCGTATCCTTCAAAGCGGAGGAGGCCACGGTCCCACTCCTATACACAAGATGTATTGCGTTTCGGTGAAGACCCGAAATCTCTTCAGCGGGCTGGTATATTACATAGGTATACGAATAATCCTCGACTGGTTGGACAGGAATACCTGAACCGCCGTTCCTTCCACGATGTTCGTGTTGGATACAGTAATGCTGCTACGCTGAGGGATGACGTGGATATGGACAGGCTGGCAGCAGTGGGTCATTCACTACGCAGGTATGCTATGGGTAGCCGAAAAGTGACTGGTAGCCTGGACTACGATCTCGATGGATTTGAAGATGAATACCAATATCAGCCCGCACAAGCTTTGCAATCCAGAACACTTCACAAACCTTCAAAACACGGACAGAACCAGAGACTAATATCTCGCTACTTTGCCGGGCGAGACGCAGTGCGATTTCCAAAGTTGTTTTCTGACTTGGACGAACTCAACATAAATAGAAAATGGCGCATGCGAGACTACCCTATTACACCGAGACCTATTGATGGCACTAATGTCAACTTCTCGGATGAAACGGATCTCAATGAAAGAAGATCCTATCGGTCGTTACCACCATCGGAGCCTGTGTCGAGAAGAGCCAAACGTCCCAATGGATATTCCAGTTTCCGTCGATTTACGACACCAACAATGGATATGACACATACGGGATTGCTAAAAAGACCATCTTCCTTGATGTCTGGGCGATTTCATGGTCCAGAAGGTAGTTCAACCGCTCTACAGCTATCAAAATCAACTGAGCATTTGTATCCAGGTGGGATATTCAGGTTCGGTTCCGGAGATACGTCAATGCAAACTTTGCGAGCAAGATTAGCTGCCGCACATTCTGAGTCGCACTTGGATACTTCCATAGATGACTCGCAGCTTATGACCGATGAGTATAACTATGAAAACCACTATGGTTCACTCGATCGGCGAACAACTACGGATACCTTAACAGCACAACAGCTACGCCGACAAGTCGAAAGACAACACCGTCAGTTGTTGGAGAGTTTGTTAAAAGAGCCGCAGTGGTCACCACCACTACCCAATTTTGATTTGACACCCACGGCTATTTTATCATCACAGCCCGCAGGACCTCAAGTGACCATACCCGTTTCTGAAGTTTGCCAAACGATACATCACGGGTCGTTGATTAGTTCGACAATGGCACCTCCGATTTTTTCCACTGCTACAGTTCGGACTTCGACGGACGGGGCATTAGGATGGGCAGTGGATACATCACATGTCACAACCGCTGTTCCGGTCAATCAGGCACTTAGCATCGGTACCATGAACCTGACCGCCTCACCTCCTGCAACACAGGCTTTGCAGTACCAGAATGCACTCATGGATAATAACCCGCTTTTCCAGAAGCTAGGGGAACTGCCTAGTCAACAAAGCGAGGTTATCCAAGCTCAAACAGATGCAACCTCTAATATACTGCAGTTGCTTAAAAATTCAGACCTGCTTCAAGCTATCACAAACGATCCGGAATTAGCTTCCCAACTGTCCTCTTTGGGACTGAATTTCAGTTTGCCTGATGCCAATCAGGTGACTTTAGCTGCAATGGCCGGGGCAATGGCAGCTACCGCGATAGCCAATGCTGGTCTTATTGACGGTACCGAGTTCAGCGGACAACCCTCAACATGGCCTGATCAAATTCAATCAAGCGAAGATCCCTTGCTTGGGCCTCCCGGACAAGATGAACAGTGTCGGCCCGACTTAATGAGAAATACATATTTCCGCTCTGGTCTACCACCATACGCAATCTCCAACGAGGAAGAGATTCGATTGGAACGTCTACTCAAACAGCTGAACACATCCCTCAGTTTGGAATCAGAACATAATGGCTTTCAAAAGCACACATCACTCCAGGCTAACCGGTCAAGGCCAGATGAATTTCAACTTCCGCACAATAGCATGGATTCCCAAGTTGAAGCTCAGAATCTATATGCTCGACCGAACCAACGAGTATCGCAACAGAAAGATGATGGTTTGCAGTTCACGATGGGACCGAGTCAAACTATTGACAAGTGGCTAATGCCCGGTATGGAAAGGGAAGAACAGTATCAACTTGTCAGTAAGTTATCAGTGAAAATCTGAAATGCTGCTTTTGGTGGGGAAAATCTTATTTATTCTTGTCAAAGACTCGATAAATATCTAGCTAGCACACGTTCGACAGCCTAGTCACCATTCTACATTGCAGTTCTGAGAGGTTTCGATGAGTAGCGCTTTGAGTACAACCTAGATAGTTTTATCGGCCAGTGGTGACTTGGGTGAGTAGACCCAGTCCATGTACGCGCAGCAACCATGCAATTCCAACCACAACGTACTTCCACTCACAGTGCACGGTTGATGTCACCTCGACTGGTGGTGAACCGTTTGCAACCAAATGACGTGGCTCAGCGAACACATCAACCCGACCGTTGGGATAATAGATCGGTGGAATTTAGCAGTCTTAATTGACGGTCGACTAGTTGGTGTGAGGCATTTTCACTGCAATTTCTCAGTTAGGAAGAAAACCAGAGAGTCGGTGAACTAAACAGTTTTTCCTTTCAGTTTCGGGAGGTTTGTTTCTTTTAAGAAGATTAGGAGTTCAAAAGGCGTCCTGTGCTTCAACAGTTTTCTAGTCGAAGATGTGGGCCTTCGGTTAGGGAGAATGTATTTTAAGTATTTAATTACCAATTGTTTAAGTGTTTAAGTATCTAAGTACTGTGTTTGAAGTTTCCATCCAAATTTACAATCTATCAGTTTAGCTAAATACTAGTTAGAGAAAAAAGGCCTTCGCGTCGAAGTTATCTACTAGAAAATGTAAACTGAACAGTTGCAGACCATTGGGCAAAGAAGCAAAACTCTCATATGCATCTTGTTTACAAAAACTGAGTATCCATCTTCTCTTTGAACGCATCTTCCTGAACTTTCCTGGATATTTATTGACTATTGCTCAAATCCAAACAAATGCTACAAAGCGACTCCACAAATTGCGCAAAAGAACTCACTTTTCAAGAGACGCAAAGCGGATTTATGTGGAAACATACTACTCGCATGCCTCCTCCATCAGTAATATCACCGTTACACTAGTAGTGTTGTGCAGAAGCGCACCCTTTTGGTGCCCATCTCTCATGCACGAGGGCTGAGATACTGCTAGGTCACCCAAGCTTAGACAGGTGAAGTCGAGGGGCAGTGGTCACTTCGAACCACGGACGTTCTGGTCAGTAAATTCGCGCCCTATACACTGAGCCATCTCGCCTGTGGAGATATGTTATCACGATGGACGCATTGGAATTACTAGGTCCAAGCAAACAGACCTATCTACTTTGAGCGATGTGATTAGTTGGATCGATGTCTCGAACGACGACTGAATTTGCACCGGTTTTGTTGATCACGTAATCACATCAGTCAGAATTTTGGCGGCTGCTCACAAGCAATACAAAAGTGTACGGCAGATTTTAGGCGTTCTTGATACTACTGGGTTGGAAAGTCTTGACAGACTGGCACAACTAGGACAGTTCGAGGTGTTGGTAGGTTGACCATATCCCACAGAGTGCGGTTTCAGCTTGACACGTCATGCCTATGTAGTGTGCGTTGACAGAATATTGTTAGCAAACAGGCGCCGCATGTCTATAACCGGAGTTCAGATCCTCGCTCACTCAGGATATTGGCCCTGAGTAGAGTAGCACTCATTTCCTGCCGTTGACGTGCACGCATCAAAAGTATCGCGCCAAAGAATGGGGACCGTTCAGACGGGCGCGAGACAGATGGTACAGATTCTTCATCTCCCGCAAACTTTCAAAAAAACTTCGTCTGTCCTGCACCCAATCACGTAAGGTTTTTCTATCAAAATTCCTTTTCGACATGTTTTTCCGTGTAGAGAAATGCTGATGAATAAATCTGCTCAAAAGACTTTGGTGCACCATCCAGAACTTCATAACATTCATTCCTGACCACAAATTTCGTCAACCAATGGATGACCAAAGAGATGATACTGATCCCGACTTTATTCGGCTCTCATTCAAACACCATCCTAGAATCAAAATGTCTCTTTCTACTAACCATTAGTCGTCGCAAGCAACCTGATAATTTCTGAGTCATGGGCCTGGATGTTTTAGTGAAGAATGAATCTAAACAAATAAATGAATGAATAAAAAAAAACTCAGCCGTCAGAGTGTACGTAGGATAGAACATATGACAACATTTGGGACCATTTCGGATTGCTTCCCACAGAGCCAGATGCTCACCGACCAGTTTGCTCAACTGGAAAACACCCGCCGCAACCCTCCGGTATATTCAGCTGTTGACACATTCAGATAAAAATATGACTACAAGTAGAAATTCGGAATGCATTCTCGGACTACAAACTGATCCTCGCAGAACATCCAATGATTTTAGAATCCTGAACACATTTTCGGTAAAACGCCCGATAGAAAATCAGGAATTTGGCTTGGTGATCAGGAAGTTTTCTGCAAAGTTTGCTGAGCAGTCAGAACATACTTTCTGACTGTCAACTAGTAGAGAGATGTTGTTTGAATCAGCCATCACCCAGTTAAGACCAAAGATTTCATACCTGATTGGAGTTCTCTCAGATGTGCAAAGCCGTCGATTGACACATGATACTGTGTGGAATGCTCATTAGTCTGGGTTTTTCAGAGGACTTCTGTTTTCGAAGACCAAATCGAAGTTATGAGTGGAGAACTCATAAGAAGGCGTTTCAGATTGTAGCTATGGTGAGTTTGCCCTTACTCGAGTAATGGAATGTGACTAGAAAGTTGACTAGTCTTCAGATTTATACTGACTCCTTGCGCAGTTTAGTGCAAGTATGAACAACCATTGATCCACCGATATGTGTTTTATTGCTTGTTTGTGAAGCTCTACATGTCATATTGCTTGAACTTAATCGTCTCGTCGAATCCGTTCATCAGTGGGAGGAAATTGGTGCTTTTGAATTCTGACTCCTGTGAAGTAAGCATGGGACCAGTAACGATGCCGTACAGTTAGTGATGATGATGATGACGACGAAAATAACGACATTAGACTTATTTCAGCGTGGTGACCCTTTTGGTCGGTCCGAAGGAATCTTCTTCTAGAAAAGGAATTTGCAGTATGCATGTTTACGCGAATCCCAATCCATTGTGCTCTCTGACGATGCACTTCAAACGAAACATCACAGGCCATTCAGTTTATTGCAAATTATGTGGAAAGGCAGAGCTCCCAGTGTTCGCCGTGTTCAGGCACAAGTGAGATGTTTCCATTACGACAACTCCTTTTGGCCTGGTGCAGTTGTTCTAGTGGGTCCACCCTAAACGGGGATGGAGGCACTAGACTCGGGTCCCCCTCTTTAGAGCTCGGCAGCAGTGCATATCCTTGACCTTGTCAGAATTTTAACTGCAGACGTCCGACATTTGAGACAGCGTGTCACCAATCCACCAGCACATATTAGGCCCATTTGGATCAGTACGTCTGAACAGGAAAACACATTTCCACACTTGAGGAATATGACTGGCTTGTCTGACGGCTCGAACAATACGACGGACGCTTGAAATCTGACTGAGGACAGTTAGTGGACCGCCGTGTGTCCTCCAGGGTGCGCTGGCGGAGAAGTGGTAATACACTTGCCTCATATCCGATTTCTGGCGTTCCAACTCCAAAAGGCCAAGGATATGTGTGTTGACGGGCGCTGAAATGGGTGAAATTCGAGTCCAATGCCACCCGCCCCCGTTTGATACAGGCCCTTAGGATGATATGCCGGTTCCAGAGGAGAATCATTACAACCATTTAAATAACATCTCGTCATCCAGAATTCAGTTCTACTTGGTAAAAGTGGTGGTCATTTCGATGGTCAATCCATCAAGTGAATTTTGCAAAGATGCGAGAAAGTACAACCCGACTATGGACTTAAACTTGCAAACCGATATCGGAAACTTGTCACTTGTCACTGAGTGTTGCTAACGAACTGAGTCACTGTGGGAAACCGAGAAAACCATTTTTTACTTTTGATGACTGCTGTAATATCTACTTTTCACCCATTGAAATACATTCTAGATAGCTCCTATTTTTAAAACTGTTTACTCAGCCTGGTATATGTGCGTCAGCACTGGAGTACTGTTGCCTTTAAATGAGGTATTTAACTTACCTTTGATTCTCATGTGTCCGGATGTGCTCCATAGTTTTAAATTTCTGTTTGAGTATGGCAATTGTCCTATCGCGGTGACCTAGATGAAGTAAGGTGTTCTGAGGAACCTATGCCCTAAATGAATCTCACCTGCATAGCTTTTTAGATATAAGTTGCATTGAACGAACCAGGATTGCCTCAGTTAGCGAGCCATACCTTGTAACGTCTTCCTGATTCCATAAAACCCAAAGGCGTGCGATCGAGGAAAGTTCGTTCGACGGGGATGATGCTAAAGCACATCTCAAACGTATATCGTATCTCCACACGGTAGATTCTACGGTGTAAATTGATAAACAGCCTAGTAGAGCGTCCGTTATACCTAATATCCAAATTTATAAAAACCCTTTTTCTAATAAAACCGTGCGTTTGCGTCAAACTATTTGTCCTGCTTCCTAACGCATTCGACTTCTCGCGACTTTTTCTAGGTCGTTCATGAGAGGGCATATCATGTGGAAATCTGTTCGCGTTGTTTAGGCGGCTAAATCCTAGGTAGATATCGCTGATGAAGCGAAGATTTGAGTGACGTGTTTGAAGTCCGTGACCAATGGAAATTTGCTTACCGAATAGTGTTCTGATCATGAAGGCGACCGACAGACTTATTGCGCCCAGCACCAAAGGGTAGAAATGGGCTGAGATATTTGGCTCTGGGGGAAACTTTCCTTCTTCGCAGCTCAAAAACCAGGGGAGAATTAGGCTGATTTGTTTTCATAAAGTAGACCACTCACAAGGTTGCTGAAAGCTCTTCGACAGACATACCTTCCGTTAATTTCTGGGTTACACATATGATCAGGCCGCTATCTTCCATATTCGGAATTGGAGGGCATAATTTTGTAATTTAAATTAAGCATTGGAACCGTTGGGTTGTAGATTGATGGTAATCGTTTATACTGAACAAAGACAAGAAAAGTGACGGAGATTTGGTAAGCCTCAGTTGGTTCCTTATCTGGATACTGTTAAACGATCGTTCTCAAACTTCTGTTTCTTGTGATACCTTAGTTGCCTGACAGGCATACGTTGGACAGACAGTGGAATCAATAAGATTCCTCCTATCTCTGAGCTAAAGCTAAGGCTTTCAGAATTACATCGATCCTTAATGCATTGTTTTATCTGAAGGTGATATAGACACTGCTTAATTACGATGGAATGTTGGATATTAATCAACCGTTTTACAACATTGCTTGATTGGAGAATTTCCAATAACAGGAGTTTTGACCAATGCACGTTGCAATCTTTGAACTCTTCTATTACAAAACGCATCAACCAATCGAGAAACTACTGCAAAGTATTCGTTTATGATTCAGTACGAGAAAAATCGCCCATTTTTATCAGAACGACTTTGGTTCTGTCGGTTTGGATAAAAGCTGCTAACATCGATACCACGATTATTCCTGAAAATGCAAGCTGTTTCAGGATTAGATAACTCATGTAATGACTAAATTATGGAAACCGCCTGATGCGCATCATTTTATGTAGTGATTTCGGATCATTTTAGATGGTACAGCCGCAGAAGAACGCCTCATAACTCCAATGGACTGGCCAAAGTTCACATCAACACAGAAACAGGTGAGTGAGTTAGCTACACCAACTTTGCCGTGGTATCTCTGCTGTTATCGCAAGCTTCTGATCAGTATACGCTAGAAATAGGGACATTTTTAGTGTTCTTATTTGAGTGTCCTAATATATTTTAACTCATGCTGGGGATACAGTGACGTCCTATTTTGTTCGACATGAACAGGGCTCTGAAGCGTGGATCGCTCAGTTAAAAACTGAGGGTTGAAATCTTTAATCGATCGCGCAATGCAAAGACTACATTGGTGTACAAGTGGACCGTTGCTGTGCTATTTTTATTTTGAAAGTAGGAATACAATTCCTAAGCTTATACCCCCATAAATTCACAAGGCTCAAATTAAATAGAAAAGGTTCGGGGATACCTCAAGGGAATATCTGAATGTTCAAACTGGAAGTTTTGGAAACACCACTCACTGTATGCACGATAACTTACGTGTTTCTGTTCGCCTCGACTGAGGCGTTGTTGATAAACCCGTTATCGCGTTTGACGGTACGCTGAGTGTCCGTCATTATTAGTTTAGTATTTAAAAGATATTTATGACTTAGGTAGGCGGTTGGGGGAAGCAGTTATACGAATTCAGGCTCCCCGTGAGCGGTTTGCTCATCTGGATACTTTTGTGTTGTGGTATGTAAAACGGCCATCATCTTCGAAATTTTGGTTGAATGTAATGTAAATAAACTCTTTGTTGACGGACCAAATTCAATGGTGAACCTTTTGAAAATACCTGCTCGCCAGAAAGAACGTTTGCGCTGTCCTTCCAGTGGAAGATAACTGAAAATAACTGAATCTGTCGGCAACACTATCCCGTTATGTAAATGAGCATTTATCTTCATATGCTTCCTATTCGGTACGAAGCACGACTGACCGAACTTGGAGAGGGCGAATCAGAAGGTGGCGTGTTTAAGAATTTTCATTAACGTTGCATGAACTGTCCTATTCGGGATGTGATCCCAGTCGGAAGATATGCTGCCTTTATACAGCGCGTTCAGTTGAAGAATGTCGTACTTAAGATGCGAAGCCAAGTTCCTCATCATTATCAGCTTAGTTTGCTTCCGCAAACAACTGCAATTTGTTGTTGAGTTGCTAAGAAGAATCGGTAGGATTTTGAGAACTTGGCCTACATGCTAGGCCACAAAAAGACGAGTTTAGCGCAGTCAAAGTAAAGTACATTGTTATCGGTTTGGATTTTTTCCAATTTTCTTCTAATAACTTATTTGACACTGGTATTTTTTTCTGAATCGAATGATGAAAAATCATTTCACCGCTTTTCGCGAAGCAAATTATTCAACAGTATTGATAACCAATAGATAGTCGGTTTCTGAAGAGTGCAACTGCATTTTGCCGCTTTCTGGGACCTATATCACGTGAGTGAAGTTGGAGCCATTCCTGGATGCTTTGGATAGAATAACTAAGCTGTTAGCTACAGCACTATGTGTCCAACTACCGCATTTCTGCGGCTACTGAACATGATTTGAAACTGGCGCTCGGTGAGATTTCGAGTTTGGGAATTATTCGTTGAAATCGATCAACTGTTGAGGTGAATACTCGGGTCATTCAAGAGTAGCCAGGCTGCTTCGATCTTCTGACGGCGGACTGAAACAGAATACACGTTCCTGCATCAATTGATCTGCAAGAATTAAAAGTACGTCTGCATGAGCACAGAGTTACACCTGTGGCATAGGATACAATTCCTAGGTTCCTCCTGATTAATTTTTGATGCCTATTTATTTACGTGTTGCTGACAATGTAATACGATCCAGACTTTATCAGAAGACAAACGAGAGCGCAGAATGAATTCCACGTGAAGAATCTTGACTAGCAAGTATTCGTTGGGTGGTTGACCGACAATAAACCTCTCTATCAGTGTCACCTAAGGCCTGAGGTAAACATATGCACGACCAGCTAGGTTATGAGCCTCAAAATTGAAACACATTTTCAGATAATTTAGTAGCCATGGCACGCATCTGAGTATACAATGTTCCTACCAGTGACACTTGGAAGTGTACTTACCCGCCCCGAGTGGGTTTAGTACCAGTGGGATAAAATTACCTTGTAGTAAAGTACGAAGAAGCAATGCTTGTCGGGCGTCCACACTAAACTAATTTCGTTGAATCACCAAGAACACTACTCGAAAGTGAAAAGGGAAGTGTTAGTTGGATTTCGAATGGTGGTGGAAAATGCTTTGAGGAGCTAAGGATTTTCAACCTGCCAATCAATACAAGAATAGCTGGATCCACGGAGCACAGCGTTTAATATCCGCATCGACCACCTGGGTTCTAATCCATGCAAGGGTGCCTTCAATCTGACTACCGACTGCGATCTTGGAAATTATGTACACGTGTTGTTTCACCAATAGAAAAATAATTTAGTTCCACCAATAACAACCCTACAGTCGATAAAAAGTCAAGCTGTTTTGTTGAGAGTATATCCTACTAATCGTGTGTACTTAAAGGGAGAGATGCTCTATGTTCGCAAACTGACTGGCATTCATACAGCCTTCCTGGGCCATTCTAAATGTCAACCCTTTATTTCTAACCGTTTGCGTGCCTAACTGTGGAAATCGAAAAAGTTCGCTGTAATACTGTTTCACGTGTTTCCTCAGTCAGATCAGCCTTTAATGACCTTTTAATCTATCCTTATAAATTCACTAGACTTGGCGAAAGTCCGCACTCTGAAGTAAGTTATATTTCCAGATATACTGTGCGAAAGCTTTGGTCAAGAAGATAGGTTAGATTTGCTTTCCTTCAAGTTCTCCAACTTGAAGTGGAACTGGTCCATGTTCGAAATTCTGATTTGATTTTCCACAGTCATCACGAAAGTTCAGAATGACAAAGGTTTACGAGCTCAACTACCGGGTGAATTCGTCGAAGGGACACTTTAACAAAACAACGGTCTCTTTAGGTTAGTGTGGCCATTCAACACATAAGTAATTAGGTGACCATGGACCAGATTTGCTCCTTCGTTTTGAGTCTTTGGTACAAACATCTTTTTCCTTGTGCTGTTTGCATCCTGGATAGATTCATTCATTACACAAAAAGACCATGATGAAAGAGTCTTAACCCTGTGTGTTTACATTTCAGAAACCCACCCCGAACAGAATCGATACTAAGCGAACTTACGACTTTCCAACAAAGAGGCTTCTGCTCATGCGGGATTCGAAGGATCGATACCAACGCGGTACAGTCACTTTATTACTCGCGATTAAATTTGAATCTGTACCCCTACACAGTCTCTAGGTCCAAAAAGCTCCAGGAGAGAGACCCCTTTACTCAGGTTCTTTGATATTTCGTTTGATACAAACAACTTTTCAGAGACCGCTCTCAACTCTTAACAAAGGCCACGCCAAATGTCCCGGTGGAGAGACACCCCAGCGACTTGACGTTCATCCATTGAGTTGACGTATATTCCAACAACAAATAGGTGTAAGATGAAAGTTTTTACGGACCTCGGAGCATGAGTATTATCTGTATGGTAGATCACTCTCAAAATCACCCAGAAGAGTGCTTTGAAGTGAATCACTATGACCTCTTCTGACTGTTTCTTCTTCCTGAGTCTACGGCGCACCCAATCAAAACTAGTTTCGTTCTTCAGATGACCCCTCCTGCGGGAATGACTCTTTCTCATTCCTTCCACTCTGAAAAGACCGTATGAAGATATCAACAATCATGGCTTTAAAAAGAGCGATCTCCAAAAGTCGGACGTATAGAAGGAGAACATTGCACCTAAAATGCATTGGACAACCTAGAAAACCTTCAGGATTCTATGATATAGTTCCGGGACGCAGAACGAACAGATTCGATGGCCTAAGGACTTCTATCGCTTTTTACTTGAAATCCTCAGTTCTAAATGGAACAACGCATAAACAGGCGCAGCTATTATGTCATGATCTCCAACAACCTCGTTTTCAAATATGGTAGTCTGCACTTTTCGAAGATTGTTGTGGGAACCATTGAACTTATATTTTAGGGACGGTGTTTATTGATGACGCCGTTGCGGTTCCATTTACATATGAGCGTACATTGAGACATCTATCACTCACTGTACACAAATGTAACATCAGGAATACTATGGCCTCTTGAGATTGTTTTCTATATTGGAAATCTCTATGCCGAACTAGGAAATGGTGTTCATGAAAGCATGGGGACTAACGAGTAAATCGATCGAATTTTACTCCGTTAGCGCCTTTTTAGTTGATGCTTTCAGCGTACCGGCCTGTTTGAAGTGTGTCTCGGTGATAATCGTGAATGATACAAGTGGTCTTTATAAGCAGGAGATCGTTGCACTGGAAGCCGTTATGTCATTGCACCGACTTTGGTGTCTTGTTGCGCTGTTATTGTTGGTGCTACCGAAGCCAAGGTCTGTTCATCGTATTTGTTCCTGCTGTTGCCTCCAAAGAAGGATCGGCTCTATCTAGCGCTGATTAGGTCGTTGCACGTGGGTGTACTTTGTCCGGGAGACGAATATATGCTGCTTGTTTAAAATTCTGTTGCATGTACATCTCACCCAGTAGATTTCATAGGATTCACATTCAGTGAGTCATTAAACTGCTTGATTTATTTTGCTGATTATTGCTTGTGGAATATCATATTGTTTTCAAACACCGAATCGCTCGCGGAGCAACCATTGTGTGGGCAAAATCAAGTGCTTATAACCTGTTGATACTTATAACCACTTGGTTGATGAGCGCTTGACAAGCACAGCCCTAGTCGGTTGGCAAGAACCAGGTCACTGACACAACATTGCAAACAGTGGATGATGCATGCTTGAGTGAACTGCTAACACTCTGCTAAACATAGTGCTGGTGGCTTACTCACACATAGTTAGCTGAAACGTGTCCTGCCACATTAGCGAAATCGTGTTATTTCAGCTCAAACGACAATAATGTGGCAAGTTTCTACACTTTAGCATAACATGGGCGCTTCAAAATCAAGTGAAGTCATGTGAAAACTAATATACTCTGAGCAGTACCCAACTGTGTGAATTGGGTCTGTTTATTGTGCTCACAATTCGTTTAAAGTTCCAAGATTTTTATAGGTGTATTTTTCCCATCTGGAAAACGTTTTTTCGGTTTATTTTTATCGTCAGTTATTGTCTTTCCTCGTTTCGTTTCAATAGAAAATGGAATAGGGATGAGGATTGTTGGTGGACATATTCGATCTGATGGGCGTTTGGGTGCTTTTGTGGAAGAGATAGATCCAAGAGGGCCAGTCGATCAGCTACATGGAGAAATCCGTGAGGGTGAGTAAATGTGTGTCAAACATAGCGAGCTATCGGATTCATTATTACTGTATTATTCAGGTTATAATGTTCACGAGAAAAACTCAGGGGACGTTAGCCACTGGTACGTACATGATAGTGGGCTAGACCTTTCCAAGGGCACATACCCTTTTACTTCACCACAGGATTTTGTAACCATTTCACGCCAAAAAGCTTGTCGACTTCAATTATGGGAATGGAGGCATGGATATCTATTTTGCTCACCGCTAAATCGATCATTCCTATCCTAGGTTACCGCGCAGTTTCGTATCAAGCTGAATTTTCCACTTGAGATCACATCACAGTGGGACACTTAATAGAAGCTATGCGACCCGCTCCAAGCGATGAAGCATACGCGACCAAGGTTTCTAGATACTTGACCGGAGTCGCTGACAAAGCGGGTTGACAAAGTTTGCTTACAATTCTGCCTTCTTGAGCATTGTCTTTCCAAGGTCACCTGCTGCCAGGCTTTACGCACTGGAAAATACGCGGCCATTGATTTGCTGTCTGTAACAGGGAAATGGCTAAAGCCTGACCGTAACAATGGTCCTCAGATATCATCCAGTGACGAAATTAGCGTTTAACACGTATGGATGGAATTTACACCGGAGCAATAACATGCATTTCAGAGGAATGAAAGTTTTTCCAACGTACTCTGATTTGCAACTATTTGAAGCATGTTATGGATTAAACCTATCCATTCTACCGGTTTCAGTCATTTAAGGAAGAACAAATTTCCATACCCATAGCTCAGTCACTTTTACAGAGCGGACATTTCGGATAAGAGGTGAAACAAGAATTGACGAAATACACTCGTTTGCACACTAATTTGACTTTGATGGGAGACTCACCTGGGATCGAGCTGAGTCTCTCGATCATGGCGCTTTTAACGAGCGATTCAGCTAGATTCCAGATGAGTCTCCCGTCAAAAGCAAACTGATGTGCAAATGAGTGTAATTTTCTAATTTCTTACTACATAAGTTTAAGTAGGACACAATGTTGACGGAAACTCGGGTATTTTGCCTACTTGATGATCCCCAAAAAGGGCGAAACCAATCATGGGCTGTCGAAGAGTTTTCACTTGCACAATACGTCTGTAATAAGGGCTCTTCTGTTGGTGGGAAAACTCAGAATGGAAGAGCGACTGTTCTTTCACGTGAACAGCGGCTTTGTATGTTGGCAGAAACTTTTCTACCTACTTGTGCCGACTTTCGGCCTTCCGACACCAGTTATGGGTTATTAGCTTTTGATGGCAACCATGAAATTCCTCTCTAGATGTCCGGTTGATAACAACAGTCTTAAGAGCCAAACGAATCCAAAAATAAATTTTAAATAACTAAGCCAGACTTCAGTGGTCATAAGACATCATACTTCTCCGGCAACAACGTTAGCCTGAACATCTGTTATAGTGGAGTTGCGTTTGTGGTGGCAAGGAATTTCACGCTTCGGACGTCACCGATTGAAGCAATTTTATTCTTTCCTTGGTATCCGGTATTTTTTTTGAACTGCAGCTTTTTTGTCTATATACACAAAAACTCCGTCGGTGATGTGGGGATTTTCTGAAATTTTCATTTGGAATTTCATCCTGCAACTGAAGTCAAGCTGCGCTAAGAAGCCGAGAACCACTGTACATCTACTCTATCCTTATCGAGAATAAGAATCTCATTAAATTCCAGGGAATTTCAAACCCACGACCTTCGGGTTTTGACACTTAACCGCTCTGCCACGAGCAGCTGATCAGCATCAACTCGCATTTAGAAACTTCTTGGTGTCTTATGAGTCTCACTGCTGGTGGCTTTCAAAATGGCTTTTCAGCATAGATTGGCTTCAATCACAGCATGGAAACCCAGTAGCCAATAAAAACAGACCATTTCGTATATGGTTACCAGTTCTAGTTTCTTTTAATCAATAACAATGTAACAGATTTGTTTTAATGACTTCTTGTTTGTACGGAGTTTAGGCTGACCAGTCAGAAAAGGTCTCACTGTCTTTGGGTCTTAGAATGTTTCGCCAGAATCTCCTTATTTTTCTAAAAACCTTGTCGGAACTTGAGCCTTCCGATGTTGGTGAAGTCAGACATTGTTTTCTTTAAAAAGGCAAATGCAGAAAAAACTGGCTAAAGTGTGAGTTGAAATATTTCTGTTGACGAAGAGTGCTCGTCATATTTTCACTGTGAATTAATTTACCACGTTACATTATGAGTAATTAAAGGAGTGTAGAAACTAAGTTAATCCGGATATCCGTCCGATGAGAGAACATCTGAAATAGGGCGTTTCAAAGGCCACGACAAGCTACGGACTCTGATAACGTATTCATTGAAGCGTATTTCGATGAAGGTGGCCTTGACTGTGAGCACACGGGTTATGATCTAGTGAGTGGAACAAGCTAAAATGCGTTCTGCGGGTCGAATGTATGTCTGAAGTTCCGGAATAAGAGCAAATCGTCCGAGTTCACATAATTAATGCTAATTTATTCATTCCGGTTTATTGGTGTTCGTACGGAGAGAATGTTAGCCTCACTGGGTGGCGCTGTTTGGTCTGCTGGTATGTCACACTTCGTCAACTTCGACCGTACTGTCGACACTTAGACAACATTGCAACTAATCTGACCCACTTTAATTCATCGACAAAAACACGCAAGACTCTACACATTTAGTCATCAGGCTATCCGATTGCGAACTGCGCTCCGACAAAAATGCTGTTCACACTCTTTGCTTGCATCGAAACTCAGCAGGCCTTGAACGTTGTGCTGACCCAACGGGTGGCACATCTAACTTTTAGGATGACTCAAAAGCTAACGTGACCCAGGTTTGCGACCTCAGTTTTGTGTTGGGCTTCCCCTCATCTGTCCTTTAATTTAGTCTTCAGCGATTAGAGGAAACACCACTGAAATCTTTCAGTTACTGCTGAAGTGAGTTCTTAAATTTATGCGTATTGTCACCGATAGTTCATCTAAAATCATTTTGATATCGCCTAGTAAACGAGAGGGCATAATAAAAGCTTCTAAACTCGATCTATACAACTTTTTGGCTAGTTCCTGTATACTGATTTGAATTTAGCAAGACCATTGCAAAGAGCTGTAAATTTCGGTGCAGTATTTTACAGATATTGTCGAAAGATTAGATTCTCGATGTTAACACGTCATCCTGAGGACAAGCCCATCAGTTTTATCGGTTTTCGGTGGCCTGGTTGCACTGAAGACATTTTACAACGTAGACTTATGGTGTAGCATGGGTCTTGTATCACAAAAAAGGAATGATCGGTCCGGTCAACCTCTTTTACACAGAAATTAGAACCAGTCGGAGTTGATTAGCATAGTCAAAACAAAATGACTGAGTTCCAATATGTTTAATCTCCGAGCTATTTTGTGATTTCTACGTTTTGATGAGATGTACTGCAAGTGACTCTCTTCTGTGAGCTGTCTAAAGAGACCGATTAAAAGTCATTAATTGTGAAAGGTGGCTTCTCTTTTGAAAGATTTGGAATGTCAGTAGATTCCTCATTGAAATAAGCAGTGCTCTTTTTTCTGTGCTCTGTGGATTACATTGCCAGATGGGAACAGCTGTGCATCCCCACAAAGCGCCCGTTTCCCCATCATCACATGCCAAGACCGGAAGTAGATATCCACTGTTGTTTTTTTAACCACGTTTCGTGAAGCTCTCTTTCAGAAGGAATCAATATCAATAAACTTTTTAACCAACCAGAATGAAGCTTAGAATGAATAGTTTAGCAGCATTAGTTACATTTCAAAGTACGATTGAAGTAATTATGGTTGTGATAGCATTGAGTTGCCGCAAAAGGCCTTGATCAGTTGGTCAAGGTAATAACTTTGCGAATGAGCTTTTTACGACTAGCTTTCAACTCCTTGTTTGCATGCGTTACAACTCAGGTCTTACCTTTCGGCCTTTTGGGAGCGTCGGCAATGACTATGAGTGTATAGTGCGTGAACGGAGTTACACTACCTTTGAACAGAAATCATGCGATTCATACGCCCATAAATTTGGTCCCATGGGATGGTCACGTGATCGTTTCAACTGTGGTCGAAGCACTATGTGGGAATAGGGTTGAGAAAACTAGGCCGCCTTATTTGCCCCAGGTATTGTTTTTGGCTGTGCAATACTACTGTTTAGACTTTTCCTAGATGACTCAATAACTAATATCTTTCTACATGAAACTGGCCTTAAAACATTTGCCAGCCACAAAATGCATAGGTTTTTCATGTTTGTATCCTTGTTAACTTACTTTAGGTGATGAAATTCTGGAGTGGAACTCCATACCACTTGTAGACAAAACATTTGAGGAGGTGCAAGCCATCATCAACCAAGTTACGGAAGAGACGGAGTTTCTCGTAAGAGCGTAAGTTTGTTTGATTTTGTAAATTTATACATAGGTAACGTCATTCATTGTGAGGATCTACACAGGTTAGATTGGTGAATCTGTCCCCGAAAGACATTAGGTCATCTTTCTGAATCGATAAAGTTGCACAGAGGCACGATGCCGCTGAACTATATCGCGCTGGGTTTGTTTACTTTGTTCTCATTGTTCTCTGTTTATGGGGCGAGGCTTTGATGACTTTTAAGTCAAAAGCAATTAACTGGTCCCAAGTGAACTATGAATCAACGTCGACAATGAGACAGTGTTCCTGACACATATGAACTGCCGGACATAATGCGACTCTATTTTATTAGCACAATTGTGTTTTCTACATATAATCAAGGTTATTAATTTATTGTCAAACGCGTTGGCCCTCTGCATGCATTTTAAGTGCTTATTGAGTGAGGTTCACAGAGCCCCTCGTATACCTCACGGGTTTTTCCCTGCTTAGTTATCCCCACGGGATACGATAACAAGAAAATATCAGCGAGCTTAGGAACACCTCCTCCCGTTCAACCTGTTTTTTTCCCCGGGTCTACACCGGAAGCAGGGCGTTCGACCGTTTGCAGACAAGTCTCGACGCGGACGGCATGGGGCAATCCCGAGGCGACGAAGCAGGATGTAACAGACAGGTTCGGAGGCGGATGTCAAATGATCTTTTGAAAATGCGTGCACGTGTGAGGCATGCGTCCCAAGGGTACATGTTATAAAGCGAACGCAGACTTGAACTCATTGGCATATACTAGCCGATGGAGATAAAAATTTAATGGGATATCTTTTTTCGCTGGAATAATGCCATTCTTCGGCATTATATGCAGTAATCGGATTCAAGTCAAGGAACCACTCCTAGTTGATGAATTCCAAACAGAACGAGACCGACAGCAGGCTGTCTGAGGATTTTGAACAATCGTTCTATAATAATAATGCCAAAGGTATGCTTTTGTTCGACCGCACTAATGAAACAAGCCGTTGGCGTTCCAAAGGCTTCTGTGAACTATCACGTTTTATTCTCCCAAGTCTGTCTGGCAGCACCAAGACGATTTCGAACTGTTTCGATTTTACACACTTCTAGCAAAATTTTGTATTGCCAGTCCGCAAATCCGTTACTTAGTGGCATATCACCGAAAGTTTGAGTTATAGTCGAGCTTATCCTGTTGAGTGTAACAAAAAGCCTCTGAACTTTACGCAATGTAAACGGGTTTCTTCCTCAGGAAACCTGCCAAACAATACCGGTGTTCTTTGGTTCAGTTGGTTGGAATCTTTATTTTCTACTGAAATGAATATCCTGACCTATCCTCGGGAATCTGGTGGGCACCGGGATCACGCTCGAGCAAACAGACTGGTGGACAGGACACTCACTCGAACAAGTCTACCGTTTTTGCATTACCAATGGGGAGATATTAACAGAATTCCAATTCAGCGCTAACAGGCTCACGTAACCCGGGGGTGATTTTTCGGGTGGATTAAAAGGGATCAACTCACACATCTTCGCGTCGGAACGCTGTGACAACCATGCGGGTTTAGTTGAACGCTGTTAACTGTAGCTGACCTGAACGTGAGAATAAGCTCCTCTCGATGACTAAATAGCACAGAATTGTGCGCGTTGGTGAGAGGCTGTTAGTAACTGTTGTTCACAAGATTGTAAATGGTCAAAGGTTTTGTCCTGTCACATAAAGACTCGCATCTTCCTGAAGAAGTGTACAAAGATCGGGTGAGCACAGGTGAACGAAAGGCTTTCTTAGCTCTCAATCTCACGCAATTTTTGTAGCCATTCAGTAGACTTCGGGTTTGAGAATACCCCAGCTAGTCCGGTGTTTTCTTTCAAAACAAAAAAGAAATCGACGAGAACACTTTCAGTTCAATTCCGAACAACTCATTTTGAAGGAACATTGTGACTTTTGAAACATGGCAAACGAGCAACAACCGTTGTTCAATAAAAATGAAGATGGAAATGCATCTAAAAAGAAGTTGACGGGCTCTGCCGTCTAAAACTCTTCTTTTTTAATGGTTGTCGGTCACCATATTTGTCCGTCGCTTTTACACCCTCAGATGTACATCAAATTCATCGGTCTATGTATAATGCACTAAATTCCTTCAATGAGAGATCCTCAGAAACGGCCATTTCACAGGTAAGGACAGTGTCACATCCCCCCATGGACTCTGTTAACTTTCTTATCAGAGTTAGAGGTACCAGGATGGGTTTGATAACAGACAGGACAGGCATTTCGGTAAGGCCAAAATCTCTACTCTAGAGAGAAAATGCATCACAAAATGGAGGGCTTTAGTCATCTGATGTCTCTTGTTGTCCACTCTGTGTCAAGAACATGTTGTTAGTGACAATCTGTTCTGATAAAAAAAGGTAGGGGACTAGGTAGGAAACAGTGATTACCACTTGAAATGACCCTATTTGTTTCTGGCTCATTTGGTCGGACTTGTTGCCATGACCGACTATCTGAATCGACACACGATATCTGCGTTTGTCTGCGGTGCACGTGTGTGTGTGTGTGCGTGCGGCTAACAATTTTAAAAAAAGGTAGGGGACTAGGTAGGAAACAGTGATTACCACTTGAAATGACCCTATTTGTTTCTGGCTCATTTGGTCGGACTTGTTGCCATGACCGACTATCTGAATCGACACACGATATCTGCGTTTGTCTGCGGTGCACGTGTGTGTGTGTGTGCGTGCGGACTAACAATTTGGGACAAACGTGGTAGTTTTTGCCCCTGGGCTCTGTTGGAAGAAACGCACCTGAGCTTTACTCAAGACCCAAACCACGTTGATTATTTACTGTTTATTATTATTGATATTAGTATTAGGATATCCACAATGCAATCAGGACGACCGATGCACACCTCATTGGTAAGGTAACCACTACCAATGCTACCTCAGCCATTCACTGCGTACAAGTAGGATTTCGAGAGGTGGAAACTCAAAGGTCTGTTCAGTATTCTCTTGCAAGCCTTTCGAACACTAATGAGTCTTTCGTAAATACAAGGTATTGCAAAGCAGCTGTGGTCAGTGACTCTCTTCAGTAAAGTGCTTCCTGGGAGGGGTGAAGTCATGCACCTTCTCTACATTCCAGTTTCGTTGGTTGACATTATGATTGTATGAATGAATACACGTAAATGCAGAGACGTGCAGATGAAAGGGCCGCAAAAGCTGCAATAGTTGCCATACTTCAGCGGGAGATACCAACGAATTTATGACGTGGTATGTGATAAATCCAGTCCACGGCCACCACCGTGTTGCTTGTGGGATTCTCATCCCCTTATGACAGCCGCTGTGACCTGTTATTCACTGAAACCAATGAAGAATCAGCAGACAGAGCAATTTACTGGGGAAAAGACTGCCAAACACTGAGTCACATTTCTTGCTCAGATATCCGTACAATAATCTATTTTCATCCGAATTATACTCAGGTTTTTGTTAAATAGTAAGAGCCATTCTTGACAGAGCCCATCCGTGACACTCACTGGAAATACCTGAGGGAAATATACCATCATGATATAAATATACAGCGGCCGAAATTATCTAGAAAACAAGCACTTATGCTTTTAAAAAACTAAATGCAGTTTCGTGCACCTTTGCGCGTAGTCAAATTTAGTACGCTTAAGGCATGAACATAAATTTCTCTTGGGTTTTTCCACTCATATTGTTGACAAAACCCCTGAGCATCTCAGTAAAGACGTGTCTTTCAAGCAAAACAATTAGCGCTGTTGTGGGTCCATGACCGTCCATTTTGGTACACATGTACAGAGTAGGAACATCCCCCGAGCAGTTTCCCTACGTATGTGGAAAAAGCTTCCAGTTAATTCACTGCGGCTATCGACAATAGCTTGATTCCACCTGAAGAGAGAAGAAAGAGGAAAATTCATGCCAACGGGTAAAAAACCGAAGGTAGCACGGCCAAACCGAAGACATCGATCGTCCTATACCCCCCAAAATGGTTAACAGAGGGGCGCATAGAATAGGCTAGGAAGGAAAGCGGTATTTTGAGGAACATCGATTGCTTTTCAGGTTTATCCAAAAGAACAAATCAAAACGATCATGATTCAGTGATGTCACCAAGAATAAAGATAGATACACAATTCACAAACACTCGTCTTTCGTTGCGATGGACATAGTATTCTGAAGGGCAGTTGAATTGAATTTCTTCACCTGACGACAAGTATTGCAAAGTGGGACGTTATGTGTTTACCGGTAAACGGGAATATAGCACCTGGTCTATATGGTCTTCCTGTGGTCCTTTTTAAGAATGGAAGAGAAAAACTTGTACTTCCCCTGTCGCGACTGCCACAAAGCATTTGAAAGGTGACAGATGCACTTGGGAAAAGATGGTCTTTACTGTCATTCAAACGGGTAGTAGAACTGAATGTATGAATGATTTTGACATAATTTTGGAAGCCAATTTTTTCTGAATTCGCGAAGGCATCAAAGCAGGCACGTCAACACTCGTGAAAAGCAACATTCGAAGTACCAAAGAGGGTGTATCCAGGGCTCCAAGGCATTGACAATGCCCTTACTGTCTGATGACTCACGGAACACTGTGACATTCGCCTAAGATAAACAGTCTTCTTCTTCAGAGGTCTAAAAGCAACATTTGATCAATTCGGACGTCTTTCTTTTAGAAATGTACCAAACAGCTTCCTGAACCCTATAAGTGTGAGATTTAACAGTTCTCTTCAGTTCATCATTAGATATAGTGTTTTTCAGAGTTACTGATTACCATTGTTCTCGTTCAACTTTGTGATCGAACTAGATATAGAAAAAACCTTTGCAATTTCCACTTCCCCTCGCCGTGTTATTCTTCATGGCTAAACTTACTTTAGTGATTGATAGTATGCGAGTTAAATCGCGGTACTTGTGTCACATTCAGTCCTGGTAAACAGCCTTTCGATTCTTTCGCGATAAACAACATTGAGCATGCTTTGATGTTTTTCAGTCCTCCGTCACATTCCCAGTGACAAGTGGTTAACGCTTTTGCCAACAATCCATTGATTACTTACTATTGATTGCTTGATTGCAAGTGTCCGCATTTTGTATGAGTGGAAAACCCTGAGACTGATAGACAAACAGTGAGGTTGTTTTACAATTGGCCTCATCGCTTGGACAAAGTGACTAATCAACTACTCTCCTTACTGGGACATATGAGTCCCACATTAAATGCAAACCACTCATATTATATCTGCTCGGGATCAGCTTCATTAAAAACATGAGGTATATTTTTATGACGTGCTGATTAAAGTTTCGGTCTGAAAAATACGGAAAACTTCCCCAAAAACGGTCATGGGTGAGATCGGTCAAAAACGACGCTCATAGATTTGGCATGAACTGAACACTATCCTGCCTTTTGGCCCGAGAACAGCTTAGTCACTGAGGAGAAGGAGGAGGTGATTGTCACCGGAAAGTTAGGATCACAGTCCCTGAAAGTCCTAGCAGAGTCTGATAAGAACCAATCTCTAAGGTGTGGGATTGCTGTTGAAGCAGAGTTTGCTGGATGAAGGTTATATGTACATTTCGATTGCCAATGCTCGTTTGAGGTTTGCTGTGTGGAAAAGTCTGAGACAAATTAGCATGACCTTTATGTACGAGTCTAGTTCCAGTTGTGCCTCCATATCGCAAGAGCGTGAATTTTCCCAAAAGCTGGATTAACAAGTGGAATTTCTGAACCAGGTTACTGGGAGGACAATCGTCGTGTGCGTACATTTTGAGAGTAACTTTTCCAAATTACACGAAAGTGTATCCTGAACTAGTCAGGTTGATACATCTTGATATTCCATAGAACTTCCTCGAAGGTCCACCTGACTTGCCTTTAGCTTTACTCCCGTGGCACATTCGGACAAAGAGGGTTGGTACCATTTGGGTGCAAGCTAATTGGCATCCTCCGGTACGATGCTTTAATGTGCGATATAAATGGTATCCCAGTGAAAGGCAAGTTTATGACTGGATCGAAAACAAGGCCAGGATTGTGTTCTGAATACGGAACAAGGAGTCATATGCAAGATGAGCCAGAATATCAAGACAGAGTGAAATCTTCGGAAGCATTCTTTCACTTGTAAATTATGTTTGATCAAATGGTCTATGCAGACGAGGTAGATTTACGAAGATGGTAGCAGAACCGTAGAATGTGAAGACAACTGCCAGTCGGTTATCATCCCATCCAAGAGTGGTTAAGTGCCAGCAGTTGTGGACAAACGGCGCATCCAATTAAGCCTTGCAGGCAGACGCCCCTTTGTGAATGTCCAACCGAAGTGGGACGGAAACTTACTCGTTGTTATACTCTACCTGAAAGAATGTAATGTTCAAACCGGAAAGAACGGTTGCTTATAACGACAGGAACGAAAGATTGATACCTCATCCGAAAAGCAAACATTTTCCAGAATTTTGTAAAGGCTAAATATCGTTTCACATGATGTCGTCAGGCTTTTGAAATGTACCGGCTGCTCTCAGAATGACAGGCTCAAAGCCTAGGCTGTATTGACTTGTGGCACACGGCACCACAAAGCAAGAATACTATCGCTTTAACTATCTTCTATTAGCTGTCATGTGTCCCTATATTCATTTGCCATCTTCAGACGCAAAGACGAGCCTCAGATTACCTCCAGGCAGCCATGGGAGCGTTCCTTTCCTGAGGATGATGCAAGAAATGAAAACAAACATATGATGCGTAAGTTTTCGATGTTATTGTGAAAATGAAAGCTGCTCGTCCTTTCAGAGAAGCAGTGATTATTCAATGTTTTATGCACCGACCACTACGTAGTCAAGCTGCGTCCATCAGCGAAATGCACCCCAGCTGCAAATGACTCTTGTAGTAACGGGAGACTCATCTTTATCTCACGTTCATGGTATTTTTTTCAACAAAATGGGCTCCAAAAGGAGTAAATTCAGTTGAAGAACATAGTCGAAATCAAATGAGTGAATGAGTGCACGCCGCCAATCATATATGTTCTTGTGCTCAAGACTGATGGAAATTCGGGGATCACTCCACACCCAATTGATGAGATTCAAGAAAGGCCGGCAGTTGGCTGTCGGAGAGTTTCAGACAGACTAGTGAGCCAAGTTATCGCGTCTAACAGGGTTCATGTGAAACAATAGTCTACCAATGTATTGGAAAACGATACATTTTGGGTCGGGCTGTCTGAAGTCCGTGGTTGATTTCAATTAAAAAACAAGGTAAATCGAACGAGAACTGGGTCGGGTCAAAACGCGCACTACAACGACCGCCTTTTGAGGTACCGGTGCCACCTAGTGCAAGGCAATAGAAGTATCCCCGAAGTTCGACTGTTACAAGCAATCACTCTGAAAATCAGTTTCTCCATCTTGGATTTTGTCTTGAAGCTTTGTCAAAAACCTCCCACTTCGAATCATACGAGGCTGTGGCAGTCTTTCACAGCAGCACTCTGGTGATATGCCGACTTGATTTGAAATTCTCAGTTTTCCTAACTACTAGTTTTTCTTTACTTTGAACTCTGCACGCCTGTTGTAAGGAAGGCACAACAGTCGGCCATGTTTTTGTCCGAATTTTTCAAGTACATTAGCCTCAAATAGCTTGGTCCGATATGAAGCGATGATGTAACTACCTGAAACTTCACTGGCTAGTCACAACTCACGTTTGAAATTGGCGATGAATTCATTATTGATAGCTGGACGGGCTTTATAAAACATGATTGCAAAAAGACAACAAGGTGATAAAATCACAGTGATACTGCGTTAACCCGTGGTGGTATGACCCGTATGCCAAGTTGCATACAAGTGTTGCAAGAATAACTGACACACGTATAAAACTGAAGAAATGCTAGTGAAATAAAACCGGTGAATATTCATGGCTGCAATCGTTATAAATGATCCAGACGTTTTGAAGCTGTTCTCCGTAAAGATCAGGGATCTCAGCGTCATACGATTTTTCCACGTTTCCAAACTTGTCATTAATCTCACTGTGTCCCTTCTAGCAAGATAGATCGTTACATGCATACAAGTTCAGAAACATAAGAGTCATCCCACTTAGTTTGCTGGGCACCCCCACCATATGATCTAGTTAGACCGTAACCTCGATATTCTGCTCTTGTGCGAGTATGCATGTGTAACAGACCTATCGTGGTGGGCACTTTGTTTTGGCAATCAGCCAGTAGTACTTAGTCACAAAACTGGCATTCTATGACCCGGAGATGTTGATTATAGTTTATTCTCAACGGCTTTCCGGGAGCAGCTTAATTCACGTGACCTAGGAAGTTTTTTCGCATGTGTCTTACAAATGATCGCTAAACGTAACAGAAAAAACAGGCTAGCTCACAGATCTGATCGCATGAAGCGACCTTTTCGAGGGATATAAGCTCAAAAGCAATCTGTGTACGGTCCGGGGGATTGATCTTTCAACAATCGGAATTTCCCACTTAACTTAGTGGGTTCCACGGAAAGTCACTGTTCAAGGGGTAGTTTCACAAAAGGAAGAAGGAAAGGATCCTCTGACGCATGAGCTGATTAGTTGGGGTCATGGGGAATCAGGTGACCAGTGGCTACGCCACCGCATGAAGAACTGTCCCAGTAGTGAATCGGTCATGGGTGGAATTGACCCCGACGTTACTGGTATATGATGAGTCATCCTTTGTGAACTCATCAGTCATCATTTAGGGCTGCATCTGTAGACTTGCGGAAAAACTAGTATACTATACTATACTATATTATACTATACTATATTTACATTACATTATACTATATATGCTACTATGCTACTATACTATACTATCTTTTGCACCAGGGAATAAATAGATTCGTTGTCACACAGATCGTCTGGGCATTTGAACACCCGTGACCTGCCATCCATATCGTCCAAACTGATGTGTTGGGAAACGTAGCTCAACATTGCATGAAAACGTGTGATTGATGCTCTTAGGGTTCATTGGACGGGCAAAGGGGAACTGACGGTTTCACAAAATCACTGTCATAGTAAATTTGAAGGAGACTGTTCTTAGCGACAGTCAGTTGCCGAGTAGACTGTTGTGAACTGATTGTTGGTCACTGGTCCTCGTAGGGAGCCCGGCAAGCCCCGAACCATGATTTAGAAATTTGATTTTGTTATTCCCATTAGTATGATCAGATTCTGGAACCCTGGCGGAGGCATAAATTCTAACGGATCACCGGTAGATTAGATGCCTGATCAGACCAACGACTAATCACAATGAAGCTACATTTNCTGGTATATGATGAGTCATCCTTTGTGAACTCATCAGTCCTGCCTTAGTTAGGATGTTATTCAAATATGAATTGTCGATAGCATCTGAAAATTTGAAAGAACATTTCTGTCATGATATTCATGTTATAAAATGTGCTGTAGATGTCCAGTGTTCTGTTTCATCTTTCCATTTCCTAGAACGTGTAGATGCATTGTGCCACCACCATGCTGCTCAACAGGCATTGATGGGTATGCAGCAACGCCCAACCTGTCCTCATATGCAAACACACTTCCAAGCACTACCACCCATAGAACAATGTGTCCACTCTCATACGGCAAGTACTACGGCGCAACAGTCACGAGGTCAATGCAGTTCCTCCACTGGTTCTGAATCTGCCCACTCTTCAGAGCGAAAGTCATCGGGGCGACAGCCGGTATCCATCACTGTGACCGAAGTGACAAGTCGCCCGGAAAGCGAATTGTATAAACAAAACAGTTTTGAGTCGCAACGGACCTCAACACATGAGAGAACAATGTCTCCCACGGTTGATGGAAGAGGCCAAGAAGAATTGCAGTCACCAACAAGCAGTCGCTCCCCGACGGAACGTAAAAAGGGACGACTCGGTTCACTTACGGTTAGCATGGGTCTCGAACTTTGATTATCTTGTTGACAGTTATTAGCCATTACGCAGACGGTAGTCAACTAGTCCAAGTATTACAAACCTCTTGGCTTCCCTTTGAAGCTGGAATTAGGGGCCCTATTGATATATGCAAGAACATTCACGTCGTCATTTTTTGGAATGACTGACTAGTAGAGATCAGAAGTTGTTGTGTTCCTGAAAAATAATTTGACGGTTAGCGAAATACATTCATTTGCATACCTATTTGGTTTCGACGAGAGACTCACTTGGAACCCAGCTGAATCTCTCGTTTATGATGTTCCCAAGCCCATCTGATGAGCTCCAAGAAAGGTGACACTGGTTAATCGTCTAAAGAGGAATGTTCGAACGAAAAGAATGCCCTTAAAACGGCAGGAAAATGGTGCACTGATAATACGTCCTGCATTAAAGTCAGATTAAACGACATGTAGGAATTTTTTGTTTCACTTAAACCCTACTTTTTTCCTTGGCTTTTATTGAATGAAGCTCTGAACATCTTTCACTTTGCAACTTGCAGTGAAGTGATCCGGGCAAGTTCCGGCTTGGATTATGTGACAGGTATTCTTATTCCAGTTTTACAGGTAACAGTTCAATCCCCAGAAGTGAGGACCCCTCAGAAGTAAACATCACTCTTTAAATGCACATATAAGTAACAGAATAGTGTAGAAAATACGACTGCGATTCGAATATTGAATCACAGATGTTCATAAATTTTCACATAGGCTGTTGTCTTCATGAGAGCCAAGTCGTTTGCACATTTCTGATAGTTAATCTTTTGTAAAGGTAATCCTTCCTGGATTAATTATGAGCATCAGATAAGCAGCAGATAAGCCAGCACATAGGTTGTGCTGGCTTGGCCACGTGCTGCGTATGCCAGTGGACCGACTTCCTCGAAGGGCTCTTTTTGCACATCCACGTGAAGTGTGGAAGAGAGCCAGAGGCGGTCAAACAATGACTTGGCAGCGGAGTATGAAAGCACTTATTAGCAAACTCAGCTGCGCTGGTCACTGCCGTCTTCCGGGTCGGGGACCCCGAGACGGGCTACATCAATGACTAGATACATTGTCAGACATGGTCCAGTCGCGCCCTCAATGGCGCTTGTGCATCTAAGCTATTGCCTTCAATGCATAGCTCTTTTTCCAACCCTCACTTGACAGCCCACTGACAATGCTAGATTTATGCAACAATTTATCAGCTCCCACCTGCAATGCGCACCTACCTACCCCCCCCCCAAATCATCGGTGAACAAAACTGCGGCAGCTACAACCACTGTACGACGAGTACGCGGTAATTACAGCTGACAATGATGATTACAGCTGATGTTTATGATGATTATGATGATCAGATAAGCCACTAACAGACCAGAATCTTAAAGACGCAGATGTGTTCAAAAGTTCATTTCTGGTTCATTTCATTCCTTGATTTTCCTGTCATTTACAAGTGTTGAAAAAGGGTTGGAAACACATGAAAACGTCAAATACCTGTGAAACAGTTTAACAGCAATCGTAACGTAGCCATCTAGTTTATCATTCTTAGTGAGAAATTCGACCACCAACAAATGAGCAGTCTCCTTTCTCAGTTTACTACTGTTCGGTTGGCTAGTTTAATATAATTTTCATTGAATTGTTTCAGAACAGGGACGACAAAACCGAGGACATTCCAGAAGAATTCGGAGAAATCGAGGTAGGCTTTCAATTTTTTCGTAAATTTGTTACCTTTATGTGTCACTCATACATGGGGTTAAAATAGGAGAGTGAGGTGGAGTATTTGTGGTTGGTATGATGTCCAAGTCTGTGACATTATTTAATTTAGGGAGTGGTGATGTTACCATGGTTTCGCTACTAAATAGTGCGGTTCACACGCGAGCTTGCAAACAGGCATGAGGTTTGTTACAGTACGCTTAGTTTTACACCCACTGTGAATTCCAATTGTCAAATCACTTCAGAAATACAGGATTTGGATACCTTGTCTCCACTAACTGTCTACTGCATAAGGTTGAACAGTATTCAGCGATGACTCATTTTCTGTACAATGGGGGAAAACCTGCTAGTGGCTCACCTAGCCATCAAATTAAGTTAATATCTAGTTGGTACCTTAGAGGAAGCCTCTTATACACGTGAAGGTTTTACGCTTCCTGTGAAATTAAGGGTGATATTTGTAATCGAATAAGCAACAGTAATCCCTAGCTTTTCCGAGCAAGCTTTCGTCCTTGTCAGCAAGTTCGTCTTCTGCCTGAGTTGGTGATCCGATTCGTGTCGAAGTCTATTGACTACAACTAATCGCTCACAAAGTTTTTCATTCAGTTGATAGTGTGCGGACATCTGGAAATTGTGACATGTCTTGTCTTATAAGTAAAGTTACTCTATGCTGAAAGCTCAGAAACACTGTACTGTTGTTTCACACATATTAGAAGTTATGAACAGTGCACACCTCACAAATCTCCGGGTTGATTCGAACCCGGTTAGTAGTTGAAGATCAGCGGCCAATTAGCATTTGGACGAACTCACACTCTGGCAAAATATAGCGTCACTCGTTCTTTCATCCCGAAAGTCATATCACGTGGCCACCTGTTGACTGGCTTCTCTGGTAACGAGTTCTCATATGGAAAGTCCACACGCCGTATGAATTAGTTTGTATTCCCAGCGGGTCTAATATGGAGGGGGTTGTGGGTTCAGCAATCTCAGGAAGTTAATCAGATCATTTGAATAAGTAAGAGACAGATAATCAGTTTTTCTCGGTTTGCCTGACAAGTTGGATGTTCTGAAAAGTTCACGACTCTCCAGGTTTCATTTTAGTTTATGAGAGACACTTATCACACCACCACACAACTTTCAGCCTTCCACCAAAGCCATCAGAACGATCAGTGTCTATTCTGTGTGGTACAAAGGTTGATTCAGCAGGCAAGGTGTGCAACGGATGGCCTTGAGAGAGCTAAGTCTACTGCTGGTTTTGTTGCTTGCGACTAATCAACTGCAAGTCAGCCACAACAGAAGAAGGACAATGTTGTGTATCGGGAATATGTCGCAATACTACCCCAAAATGCGTCAAACCACCGTGCCAGTATCCCTGGATATTTCATTCTGCACGTAACGAGACAAGAACTAGGTTGCATAAAAACTTCTCAGTGGTGGCTGATGCCTGTCAACAAAAACTATTCCTTAGACTTCACTCTAGATAACCAAGAGTTGAATCACTCACCAGCGGCGGAACTACTTTGCAGAAATTGAGAAATTGGGGACACTCTTCGATTGTCCCACATAAAAGGATGTCCCACATAAAGCATAACTTACTCTCAGCCAGTTCGACTAGAAACTACAGAAGTATTATTCAATGGGCAAGTTTAGTAAGAAAGCGGCCACCTCTGATATCAGGTGAATTAGCTGCCTTCAAGCCAGAATAGTTTCACCAGGAAGTGGTCAGTATTTTCAGGTTAGGGCATTAAATCAAAGCATTAATCAACTTCTGTCGATGGCGAGAAAAAGCCGATTATTATCGGGTACATATGTTGGGACAAAGTTAGGTAACGCAGAGCTTCCGTAAAATTCAAGTTCCAAAGATTTGTTATGATGGTTTCTGATAAATTCAGGTGCGGGAATTTTACTACTTGATGAATAGTCCTGATGCTGTTCTCCTAGAGGTAGGTGCCATTCATCGTCATTTTCATGCCCTAAGCTTGCGGTAAAATGTTCCAAAACAGTCGTATATCATTCAACAAGGTAGAGTCAATAATGTCTGTTGCTGAGTCTTGATCCGGCGACTCTTCTTTACGCGTTCCTTGTAGCCAACACTCATTACAAGAGCTGGATAAAATAGTTCACCGGGTCCGTAACAGTGTGTTACAGTCCAGTAATGTGTAACCGAACTAAACTTATTGGTTCATCTTCAGTTGACTTGTCAGTGTGAACTTTTTTTTGCACCACTTGGCTGTTGTGCAGCTCTCATTTGGAATGATACGATGTGTGACAAGGGGTTTCTATACTCGTATATTGCTTTTCTGACCTCGTCCAGAGTCCTTTTAAACAGGGCAACTATGCACTGGATTTTGCAATGTGCTTACGCCCAAGAGTAGCTCAAATTTCGTTGTTTAATGGCTGATTATCCTCTTACTCCAAGTTGTTCAGTTGAGCCAAATACATAATGATAATTTGCACGTGATGTTCATGAAAGGGGCGTTGACACGAATACTATTTCCAAGTCCTTCAATAGTGCACATCAAACATTTTGAATCAGCCGCACTTATTTGTAGAACTTAGTGCTCACCGACAATGCTTTAAAAAAGTTTGGGGTAGTGGATAGTGATCTGCCGATGCTAAGACTATATACTGCTGCTTGGCTAGCGGGTTTAGCTTTTTGCAGAATGATGTTTCCATTAAACATAAGGTGTGCAATAGAACATCTGGGGTACACGAGAAAATTCAGAGTAGCGCCCTTTGTGATGTGTGACCTCATTTAGGAATTCCAACTCTCTCCCGCTGTATGGAACGTTGGACTAGAATGTGTAATATAATGCAATGCCATCGGTCGAAGATTTCCCTCTGGTCGAACGGAGACGGTTCGTCACTTACCAAGATTATATAACCTGATTGCGTCCTCCCTATTGAGAGGAGTTCTACTCTCGAGGAAGAACGCTTTCTCACAACAGCTTTCAGTTGTGGAATTAAAAGTTCCACGAAGATGCGACATAAACTGGTGGAAGAAAACTTAATTAACTTGAAAGGATTTGATGTTATTTGTGGTCAACATTCTACTGTGCGTTTCTGAGATTTGATGGTGCATAATTTCGCAACCGTGCTTTCACTTTTCTCCCCACAGCTGATTCTAACATTTGATGATTTCGACCAAAGTTTGACTGTGCATGTGTCACGCGCACGTGGCTTACCTCCGATGGATCTCAACGGTCTGGCTGATCCGTTTGTGAAGGTTCGACTCCATCCGGACCCAACAGAAGAGTATGTTTCTTTATCTCGTTGGCCAGTTAGATGTCAACTGGTTAGGCTTTGGAGATAAACACGAGGATACAACCTCACGTTTGTCCACACTTCATCCGTATTATGGCCGTTAGTTACTCGGAGGTTATCATTACAAGTGTCACTCAACTAGAGCAGTGTAGTTTTTTCGAGAGAGGCCCTTAAAGAGTCCGGTCTAATTGGTATTTGAAGAATTATCAACCTACTACTATAAGAGTACTACAACCGTTAAAATCTCCCAAGATGCTCGTTGTGCGAGCAGGAAATACGAAATTCTCACTACTTACAAATGAGCATGTAAAGCCGAAGCAATTTTTTACTCAGTGTAGGGCATTTGGCAAGGTATTTTTTCTGTATTGATTGTGATAGCTACTCTTTATCGGTGTATAAACAGCAAACTCAAAATTTTATTTATGATGAAAGGTCGTCGTTGTCGCATGTACTCAGTCGTACTGGGATTCGAATTTTGACCAAACGACTAATAAACAATCGTGTGCATCCTTTTACGGCTCTTGTTATTTGTGCATGCATTATCTCCTTGAAGAGTCTGAGCAGTATGCACCTGTGTGTGCATTCCGTTTGTAGGTCTGCAACCGATCGTCGCTGCACCGTTACTGATCAGTAGACCCATGGACACTTGAACCCTGTCAATGTTGAGCAGTCAGGAGGTTTTGAGGATTATTGCAAGGTCTAAACTGTGGTCAGTATATGCCGAAGTCTGATAAGCACTGTACTATTTCGTCGCTGTTGGCAGTCGGCGATTTTAACTTAGTTGTATGGAAATTCGAGCCCCCAACCCTCCAGATAGTGATTTCACACGACACGATTTTGTCACGAATAGCTGATCAGTGGGGTTATTGACTTTTATTTCGACCAAATGCAGAGTGACCCATAGCCCACACAGCTCACCCAAACTAATACAGTGATGGCTGCTTCCTAGGGACTTCACAGGCCAAACGTCCACGCAGTTTATGGGGTTGTCCTATCCGCTCTAATTAGGCAGACGCAAGTCTACTTGGAGACTCGTAAGATATGCTGATGAGATTCGACAGGGATAAAACTATCGAGTGATTCTCGGCTAATCAGCATCCAGTAACTTTGCCTGCAGTATAAATTTCATTTAAAAATTACGGGCAGTTGTATGGTTTGGTGAATACTTCTACGCTGTTCACTTTGAATTCTGATGTGGCTGCGTGTGTTGGTCAACATTAAAGCGGAACCTCTCGAATCCCGCTTCAATCACATTGTAACTTCCCGGTCATGCACACCTGTTAGCTCTACAAAGCAGGGCCCCAATTGTTTGACACGCAATTCTATGGTGCTGTTGTCTACACCATTCGGTGGGGTACCAAAATCAGACGACTTTAATAATTTGTTTACCATTCCTCAAACTGAAAAAGCAACATTCACAGTAGGACAACAAGAATGTTACTGTTTCACACTCACACTTTCGGGAAATGTTTGCCGATCTTTCCGGATGTTTGCGAACTGCGCATCGCTTGATAAACGAATTGTGAATTGTTTCTATTTTTAATTGATTGCATTGTTTGAGATTGATAAGTTAAACGTACGACATAGACATGGATGTTCTACTTTCCTGGTATCGTGCAGTATTCAAATAGGTTATAAATAATGAGTTCCCTCCTCTGTAGCTATCCACATCAGCCGCAAGTGATATTCTATAGCATCCATTCTTTTTTCCAGCACAGAGACAGTGCTGAACACAATCACTTGACCGTCCGAGTCTAATAGGTGAAATTTTACCAGGTTGCGTTTCCAGACACAACATAGTCACATAGACGAAAACACCGAGAATCGTCAATTTAACGTAGTTCTTGTGGTCTCATCATGACTTTTATTTGACCTCTACGGACAAAAGACTCGGCCACCATTTATTTGAGAATCCCGTTCTTGCCATCTAATTTATTGCCCGAGCAGGAGAGGTAACTGGTTGGATTCCGGGGACTAGGCCTACGAGGGAGAGAACTGGTGTAAGGATGGAAGCCGCGGAGTCGTTTAAAACACCAACTCTACGGACAAAAGACTCGGCCACCATTTATTTGAGAATCCCGTTCTTGCCATCTAATTTATTGCCCGAGCAGGAGAGGTAACTGGTTGGATTCCGGGGACTAGGCCTACGAGGGAGAGAACTGGTGTAAGGATGGAAGCCGCGGAGTCGTTTATTAGCAAACACCAACCAAATAATTACAAACTATTGGACAAGAGAGTTAACATCTTATATGCGCCGTTTTTTTTAAACTGAACATCCTCCTGCGTCTTCCTGGACTTTCGTGGATATTCATTGACTATCACGCAATTGTAAACGAGCGCGCAAAGCATTTCCACAAATTCCGTAATAAACCCCACTTTCCATTAGACAAGAGGCGGAGTTATGATAAAACCCCGCACTACTCACATGCCTCATCAGTACTATCCAACGTTGCCCGGGTAGTGGGCTGAAGTAGAGTTTTCGGCAACCTATCGTCAACTATCTTTGTGTCAAGAAACATAATTCGATAGCTTAAATACTGTCCCAACCGAAATATGAAGGGCCTGTGTGTATCACATTTGGCTGAAGGTGATTATAAATAACTGGTTCAGCTGCCACTCACTTCAGTCACCAGTTAGATGAATATGTGACTTAACCAACCTCGTTTTTTCTGAATTGTTAAGATCAAGAAGTCGACAGACCGAAAATTTTGATTTTCGTCAAACACAACTCCATATCAAGCTCTTGGTGCACATAGTGCTTAGTATTTTGGATGTGTGAAGACTGATTCCCTGTTAGTAGTTGAACCGCTTTTTCGAAACGGTAGGGCTGATTTAACAGGAAGACCGCACACCGCTCTGCAACAGTCGAATGCCGCTGAAGCGAAATTTTATTGGCAAACTTATTTGGGATATTCACGAATAGAATAATTTGACTGATAATCAACAGTGTATTAAACTCCCCGTCAGATATCTTGGCCTATCAGTTTTTTGGTGTGAAGGCCATCTGCTGCGTAGTTTGATGGTTTTGCATTAGTATCTGTTAATTCAAACACTTTTAGACCATCGTCTCCTCGCAATTCCAAGCATGGTCTGTGCCCACGGGGCAGAGTAGTGAGTGCACCAGATATGTAGTCTGAATAACTCTGCAAGTCCGCATTTTTGAGGCTTAATCACTATTGCCATGTTGATTGGCGAGACGTTTTTGGCCTTAAGTCACCCATCAGTTAATGGTATCAATCGTCGTTGGATATGCGCTGCATCGAATTAATTACAGCTTTGATGTTCGTGCACTAGTCGTGAAAAATGAGTTTTCATCCACTGGGTCCACATGTCCTAATGTCTTTGAAAAAGCATGCTGAGTACGGGATGAGGCGCAAGTCTAACTCTCATTGGTCAACGTCATGGGCAATGCACATTTGGGACGCCCACTGTGGTAAAGGTAACTGTCTGTCACGGGTTGTTCAAAGGAACAAGAATAAAATTTTTGTAGTTTTGTGGTGGTGGCGAGATGGCTCAAGTGTTCAGAGCGTGAATTTACTGACCAGAAGGTACGTGGTTCGAATCCAACCTTTACCTGTCGACTTCGCTGTCCAGGCTTGGGCAACCTGGCAGTATCCCAGCCCTCATGATTCTTCCGGGTGGCATGGAAGCTAGGCGCCGGAAGGGTGTTACAGTTGAACGATATATATATATAGTTTTGTGTTTTTGCTGTGGGAATTAGCGAAGGTGCGGTACATAATCAAACATCGTGAGAGATGCCAGGAGGATCAAGATCTTTTGGTGCAACGTATGAAATGTGTAGGGATGTAGGGATACTGAAATAAATTTCTGTTTTCCCGCAATAACAGGCGAATTCCGGCACACTTATACAAAAGCTTACTGAAATATCTTCATAAACGCTTAGAAAAAGTTCGCGACCAATATAAATTGGTTTTCCCTCTAGAGTTTATAGTTCAGCAATTGTTTTATTGGGGAGACGATTTTAATTTCATCAGCTGTTGGGCACCGCTGGTCAATTCGCTTGTTAATCACGGGACACACGTCACGGAAACCAGTTTGCGAGTCCGGCAAAGACAAAATGCACCGTATTTTTGATACTTAATGAAGTGAATCATTATCCTTCCTTACTCCTTTCTTAGGTACTACTGTAGTGATGAGTGGTGGAGCAGTTTGGATTCTTACCGTTTATTCATCCCAAACTTACGGCATAAAAGAAGGGATAATATATTAAACAGCACTGATCGCGCTCGTCACGAACCTGGGGGAGGTTATTCCGGAAAATGTTGGTAGATAAGTTCTTACGATAAATCAATGTTTTTATTACGATAAAATAGACAAGACCAAAAGCCAACTCTGCGTCGCTAGAGCGCATCTTTGTCTAACTCCTCTGTTTAAATATTGGTACTGAATAAACAGTGGCAGTTGGTCAGATAGTTCATCTTAGATTATGAGCTCCAAATTATCAAAAATAACAAAATCACACCTTCGAACCGTCACTTGGCAACTAGAACATAAACTCCAGTTTATCTGCTTCTATTTTGGTCTTCAATCTCCACACAGTCCGGATTTCAATCGACAAACCAAGTATATGCCGAATACACTCACTCCAGAATGGCAACAAACTGTCGTTTTTATGAACTGTTTCAAACGAACTCTGAAGCGTCGCGTTCTGGAGGTGACAGTTTGGGATTTCGACAGACTGAAGACCAATGATTTTATGGGCCAAGCGTTAATCAATCTTGGTGGTGAGTGGTTTTTGCGTTTGTGACATGAATGATTCGTTGATAACCGATCCCCATCCATTTAATTGATTTGTTGCAACAGTGAAATCTCACTCCTGTCTGGAATGCAAAAGTTGTTTTTCGGATTGTGATTCGATCATCAACGCATACTAAGTGATTTGGCTATCTTGAGATTGCAAAGATCACGGGGATTATAAGACGGTGGCAGTATGGCTAGGGAGATTAAGTAACGTAGATCAAGGTATGTGATTTTTTACTGCTTGGAAAGCATCTTCCGTTTGGTGGAAATTTGTCAAGGAAGGTTGATGAGAATTTCGGAAAAGGTCTCTATCGGCTCCGTCCTTATTGGAGCTCAGCACGTGTGCCTAGTCACGAGTTTTCATTGTTCTCTCTCCGCGCTTAAATTAGCTAGTTTCCTGACGCTTGATTAAGATAAACCAAGTGGGGTGTATCCAGGAATTTTGTTGAATTTTTAATTAGTATCTTAAAGAGGATACCATGAAATCTTGAATAACGTTCCAACCAAAAAATTAGATGGCCTCTGCATAGCGAGTTCAGTATTAAGGAAAGATTCATTTGAGGTTCACTCAAAGCTCTGGTCAATACTTAATTGGTTCGGAAATCAGTAGTTGCCTAAGGAAGCCATTATGTCACAAATGAAGTGAGCCAAACTGATGTTCTGGTGAAAGCGGAATGCAGCTGTTTTGGCAACATCATACCATATCTTACTCTGCAATGATGTCGCACGACTAAGTCAGTTTTTGAGTAAGCAACAGTTGTGTGAAATAGTGGCGGAATAGACTAAATCCAATGCAGTGGCTGTGAACCGTGACCAGTTCTTAAAAAAGGGTATTTCAGCGTTTAGAGAAGGAAGGCAGTAATCATGGATTTGTGTATTAAAGCCTTGGCTCTACTGCCCTTTTTGGTTTGATCGTTATTGTGTTGCTTTTCGTCTACTTCTTGTCATAATTTTATCACAGCTGAATGCAGTTCCAAATCAGTTTTGGAACGTCTATAGATCAAAACCCATGGAAAGCGCATAAGTTCTTGTCCCTTGATAATTCTCGACACCTGAAGCATCGAGGAGAGATCAGGTGAATAACATCGTTGTTCAGGTTGTAGTATCTTCTGCAAGAAATTTTCAGTGGGATAGCTTCGCAACTCTCCGTGAGAAACGAGCTCTAAAAGGTTAATTCGTTTGCTGTGTAACCACCGAGATGTTATGGAGAGGGAACTATGATTGATTTTGCGGCATCATAATGTCCGAAAAAGTTAAATGCCTGTTTCCAAGTCCCAACGTTGTTTTACAATTTTGATGGCTGAATAGGTAAGTAGTCGTAATATTCGACCATCGATCATCCGGCCTGACGATAAAAATATTTCTTAGCAGTGTTTCTACCGGCTGTTCTTCAAACCCCTCTACAATTGGGAGACACAATTTATGCCAGAACATGTGTATCCCTTACCGCCGACTGATTCATTGTTTCATTAGACTGTGAAAAAAACTGGTCTTTTAAATAAAGCGCAGAGAGGGTAACTGAAAATTTCTAAATGTCTGGTACAGTAAAAGACTTTTGTAGGATAAATAACATAATGCCGCAACGTGTCCAAATGCGTTGCTTGCAATCATATTGTTCGTTGTGCAGTCATTTGGCCAACTTTTCACTCGTTCAAATTCATCCCCATTTTAACGTTACGCTTCGTCTTACCTAGACAATATTAGATAATAACGATTTAATATTATGACGTAAGCTGTTGGCTGGAAGTGTGTAAATATCCTCTCAAACAAGTCAGTTTGAGCAGGTGACCGGTGGAGAAGTGTTCTACAACGGTCCTTCAGTTACATGTCTTGGTTTGAAAATAATTTTATTCTAAGTAACAGAGTAGGAAACTTGATGGGAGGCTTTTTTTTGGTTCATGCACACAGCTACTTTTTGCGTCTCCAGTGGAACCGATGATTAGGTGTTCTGATTCTTCGGTTGTCATGGGCTCATGCACTTCAACTGAAAGTCGTGTACCGTTTTGCACTATTCATGCGTAATAGATCCCTTGACGTATATAGATGTTGCCCTATCTATCAGGTCTTCTTTTGTTATTTTAAGCTGGCAATACAGTGCTCAATTTTGGAAAAAAAACATGTAACGTACTACCAACCTGTTTTCCGAAGTAAAGCTGACCAAATAGGAAAACTGCAATGCCAACTTATCCTAACATTCTCACTACTCGTACGGAATAAAGTAGGATTTTTGAGTTCGGCCTGGCACTAGCTTGGAAGTGATTTTATATTCCGAACCGCTGGAGCACCGCAGCAAGTGTGGTTAAGCTCTGAACTTCGGATCACAATTTGACTTCGTCAGACAGGCGTATCAAAGTCCTTCAGTTGATGTGTTGACTTTGTTTATTCGTGCAACCTGCGCCGTTGCATTTCCATCCATTGTGGTGTGGGCATCCCATTGAAAAAGCACGTGGATTTGTCAGGTCGAGCTTGGTGATAAGTTTTGATTTGTCCTCATTTTACGATTGTCTTTGAGTTTCATTCATACTAAGTGGCAATTGATCAGCTAATTCCGAGAAGTCACACAAAAATATTGCCCCGTCTCACTGAGGGTGACCATCCAAACTGTACTCCGCATTGCCGGAAATCCTTTTGATTAGGAACATGATCTAATCGTTGCCTAGTCAGATGACTGACAAAACTGCATTCAACCATGGTCACTAGTTGTAATAAACCAATGAAGGACCGATTCCCGATCAACCATTGGTAATAACAAGATAGGATAGAAATAGCAATGACGATGATAGTAATGCTGATAAGATCCGCAGTGTTACCAAGATAGATAATCATTCCAGTCACGTCACTGTACGGAAAGCAGTTGTGTCATTGGATTGCATGGCTGTTTTCGCACCGATGCTTCCTCACACCAGGTTCACTGCATATAGGGAGTGAATATGTTGGGTATCAGTCATCGCATAAGTATATGGTATTGCGTGTCTTTATCACTGGGTGTGAAAAATTCCAAAAGGGTAGTTGGCTACAGGATTCAGGATCACTTTAATGGGGGACATACTAACAAAACCATCAGTTTCAACCTGAATACTACAACGCACATGAAACATTCACACATTTTTGATCATGTAATCTGTAAGTATGTTTTGCAGTGCTTTGTTGTAGAGATGCTTTTGGGACTTTCGTTGGTTTGAATAGTAAAGTGATGGCTAAAGAATGATGATGAACACTTGTGACTTGTGTGACTTGTATGATGACTCATATTCCCGACATTCCTGGATCTGAGTTAATTTCCATGGAGCCTGGAATTTCGTAGGCCACGTGCTTTGAGTTTATTACCAGCACATTCCTTCTGGTGCGTTTGTTTCGCCTATTGTTTGGTCAAGAGTCTCACCCTCCGTCCATATATTACTGTTTGATACGATGACGTATCGTAACCGAGACTAACACGTATCGAACCAATATTCATACTGCTTACCTGTAAAATCACAGTTTCATTAATTCCTACATTTAGGCACCCTTCTTGTGTTAAAGTCATTTCTGCTTGGCTACTCGGCTTTGTATCTTGCTACCGCATTCCACATAATATGTATGATGAAAATGTGGAGTGAATTAAGTTTATGTTTACTTGACTTTAGTAATCGATTCGTTTACCCAACTCAGATTAAATTACGGAATGGGGCAGAGGTAGTGCACGCAGAACGTGAACCAAAGGGGCACGTTGCCATGGTGTAACCACCACTGTGATATCGCAAACAGGCGCATGCGGTAGGTCGGGAATCTGATCTGGTGCGGGCCAGAAGATAAACAGGATGGGACGCTACGACAAAAGTTTCAACGAGAAGAATTTCCGTATATGCATTTAGGCAACGGAAGGTAATGACGATGCTTTAACTAGATTAGAATATGCATAGCTACCGTTTCTGTACTCTGATATATTGCGCACCTGTAAATATTGCAAATGCCAACAAAAAACTGTTCATTACTTCAAAGTTTTTGACAATGCTTCACAGTTTTAATGCAATATCATACAGCCTCCAAGCTCCATTTCGGCACACACCTAAAATGGAGCTGGGTTGCAAACTTCAAGATCTGATGGTCAGTTCGCAACCGTAGCATTACTGAGTTCAACTGTTTAACATGATCCAAAATGACTTTAGCGTAGTTCTTCGTCTGGCAGATTTTAGACATACCAAAGCAACGTGTCGATTAAATATGATGTACCATATCGTTTCTCCGTTCTCGTAGGATGAGGAGTGTAATTCACTTTACATTTCTGGTTTAAAAGAATGGTCAGTGTACGAGTGGGAATGTCCTAGTATCCCATTGAAGAGAGCGCATCAAATCATGCACAATTTTGTCAAGGAGTTCCTAAAGACATTTTCGATGGAAGTCTGGTCGTAGGAATAAAGAAGCAACTCCTCATTGTCCTACAGCACTCAGTAAATCAATCACAACCTTGGCTGGTTGTCTGATTTACTAAACGATGGAGCTCATTCCTGAACAGGAAACCTACTACATGCTTTTCTTTAATTGCAACGCATCGGATGAATGCAGCGAGATAGTTCACATGATGCTTTCGCCCAAAAGTTTCCGCCTTTAAGCTGGCTTCTGAAGATTTATCTCGTTCTGTCTCTATGATCAAATTCGGAGCTCATCACATCGGCACCTAATCGACTGTTCAACAGGAGTTGGGGACAACCATTCGACTATATATTTTTGTAATGCACTACTCATAAGGTTGTTGAAAACTCCTCGACAGCCCACGACCGGTTTCGCCGTTCTTGGGGCTCATCAGGTAGGCGCAGTCCCCGAGTTTCCGTAACCTTATGTTCTACTTGAAACCGTATTGCACGAAATTAGCGAATATACACTCATTTGAAAACTTATTGGGTTTTTCGAGGGACTCACCTGGAACATAGCTGAATCTCTCAGTTTTGATGTTTTTAGGCCACTGAATGTGCTGCACCAGGCCGCCTCATGTTTCATCCGACTAGTTACAAGTAGCAGCCTTTTTTGAGGAATTCGCTGGATGAAATGAACCGAGAGATATTGCTCTAATACAAACGATCTCATTGAACCCTCTTGTCTTTTTTGAATGTCTTCGAACACCAGAAGACACAATTAGCGACTTTTTTTTCGGAAATATTAGTCAATGAGTATGCTCCAAACAGTACATCCTTATACTACCGAACGAGCTTGGTGTTTCCATACTATCCTATATTGAGCGGATTTGTCTGTTCGGATACTTATCGTTCAGAATCACTCACGTTTGAACGAATGGATCAAAAATCTGGGCGCATCCAATTTTGTTTAATTGGAACGTTGTTCTGCCTAACCAGTTTAATTTAAATTCACCCACTAATCTTTTGATGCTTCTCAGTTATTAAGCAGAGAGGGTAAATGGTTAAATACTGCCATTGATATACTAGTTTGGTCTTATTAAGTGACTCATTCCAATCCAGCTGATTCTATTGTTTGTGACGTCATGGGCCGTTGAAGAGTTTTCGGCAATTTGGTCAGTATTGTGCTATATCTGGATGGTGTACTCCAATATATGGTACCAACTAAAACATGGAGCGACCTTGTAAAGCAAGCGCAGCAGGAACGCGCATCACAAACGAGTAATTTAGTTGGATTTGGTTGGGTCCTCCGATGAAACGGGTTGACCTGCTATTTATCCGATTCGGGTTCAAGTAGAATATACATTGGACGGAAACTAGGGAACTGCATCTACTGATGAGACTCAAGAATGGCGAAACCTGTAATGGGCTATCGTAGACTGTTCAGCAACCTAATGAGTAGTTTGCTACGTCGGGATGGAGTGACTGTTTTCACATGCCAGTTTGAGAGTTGAGATCGGAGCGTACAATGGCAACAAAAACAAGGTCGTCCTGCTCATTAGGTCTGATTGCATTATTGAATACTGAAGAGGAATTCTATGATAAAGGGGCTGCCCCAATGAAGCTATCAGCCTGAATTGTCGATTCTGTTGCAGGAATAGATTGTGAAATAGAGTGGCGTTGATCGTGTAAGCGATCGAAAAATAGGTTGCCTATTGGGAGTAACTTTGTTTGCAGATATGACAGAAGTACATAAGCCCATGGATAGAAATGAGATAAACGCATTGTTGTAACAGAATATCGGGATGCAGTGTTTTGTGATCAGAAGACGAAGAGCGATATTTCAATTTTACGGACACCGTCACCCACCCACGTCTAAAGAGTTGATTTGACAATTCGACTTGAAGGGCATGATTGTGAAATATCTGACTTATTGCCAATCAGGTTAGTCGCGCACGTCGTCAACAGGGTAGCTGGACGACAATGCAAAACCCTTGTAAGAGCGAGTCTGGCAGACTAGGCAGACTAGGCAGACTAGGCTAAATTGGATGTTGACTAGCAGGACATTTCATCTTTCATTGCTCGGCTGCGAAGACGATACAGATTGTTAAGAACAGTATTCATGCCCTGGAACGATTGTTTCACAATAAATGTTGGTTGCCTTTGGACGCGCATCGCTCGAAAATTTAGCTGTCATGATGGGCGCCTGAAGATTTTGGCTGTGGTAGGTGAGCAAGCCTGACAGTTGCTATTGTGAGCATTCTCTTGGTCTCAGTAGCATGACACCAACACTTCCTTATAGTTGGGAAACAATAGACGTCAATATGCATGGTGTAAACAGTACAGACCAAATAGGTATGGTTAGATGTTTGCATCATCGGGAAATGAATTGAGCTATCTTGGTCAGATGCTTACTTTGATCATTTCATTCAGGTATTCTCTCAAGAAAACTGTCTATGTAAAAACCGTTGCTAAATTTGGAGCACAGAACTACACATCGGTGCTACTTTGCAAACTTCCCGACGAGTCCAATCAAAGTTTTCATTCTTCCAAGGCATCGGACTATGCTCACTTCGATTGTGATTGATGCTGCTTTGCGAATTGTCCGGAAAAACAGATGGTCTGCCAGCTATCTTTCTCCACTCTGCCCTGTTGTTCTGAGGTTCAGGCTCTCATAGACATATTTGCCTACTGACTTTAGCACTGTTACCTCTTTCTAGGATGGTTGTGCCGATCTAACCCCGACAAAACTCCACTCGTGATAGCCCATACTAGCTAGCCTAACAAAAGGTAAAATTTAAATATCGTTGAATTTTTTCGCAGTGTTGCATATTTGCTCTTTTTTTGTTGGTACGGTGCCCAGAGGTTAAACTTCTTGGGCGTCACATAACGATGATCACGATCACTTCAAAGGAGTCAATACACCACACGGCACACTGCAGTCTAATGCGTGTACTTCAGTGAAAATTAGCCGAGCCTACAGTTTACTCTCGTTTCAAAGGAAACACCTTGTACCTGGTGCATAAAAACGGAAGTAAAGTGATACTTGCTTTTGATCCTAACAAGTGGATATTCAGTACTTGAGTATCACGCTAGAAAGCTAAAACCAACTCCCTCAATCGTATAATACTACATTCTGTCCATTGCAAAAGTTTGCATTGGACTTTTGTAGTCGAGGTGGCTGGGTTCTAACCTAGATGTTTGAAAACTGACAATCAGGCTGCTTAGCCAGTGCAGTCCAACCTCTGAGTTTTTCCGAAGTCGAACGACGTGTATGGAAATGCGTAAGCAGTATGTTGATAATTTGCACGAAGCCCTCCAAAGCGAGCACCTATTCTGGGAGAGTGGACTTTTTTGTATGGGGGGTGTATCCACAGTGAATTGTGGACAACAGGCAACACTCTCTAGCTTTTCCGGGTAATTAGCTTCTTTTTGTAGAGGAAGTTGAGGATCTTCCGCCCTCGAATCTTGCTTGGTGAGGTGAACTGTAGTTCACATATCCCGCACACTTTCGCTCACATTTTCTACGAAGTAAGCTCAAGTGCCGAGCTGACATCTATCCTCCGTGGCGTCATTTTGCTTTGCTTACTTTTGTGTTATCTCTAATTCAAACGGCCCTCGGGGTCCCTTTATGAGTGTAGCCTACCTCTGGAGAACATCTGTTTGCAGGTTGGTTATATCTATCGATCTGATCGTTTGATAGCCCTGCCGAGAATCGTGGGTGGAATAGATTCAAGTCAGCGTGTCCATCTTCCCTGAAAGTACTGATTAATTTTTCGGTTTTTGTCTTTCCAATTACAACCTATAGACAAGCAGCTTCTGGACGGTCGACCCCATTGGTACCCGTTGCATAAAATGGAACCGGTCATCCTTCCCAGCGCAAAGAAAACACCGCCTTCATCACGAACAGTTCCAGTTGATACTGCCAAGCTGTCACGAGTGAGCAAAAGATTGGATGTTTATTTTGGTGATCTTGGAAACGTCAGAATTTTGTAGAGGATATGTTGACAGCTAATAATGTGGAATATTCATGGGGTCAAACGGCCAATTAGGGAATCATCTGCGTGCAGGACGTGTTGAAGTCTGTGGGTTGAATGCATGAAATTTGGATTGTACTTTTTAAACATAGTGAAATTCCCGGAGCTGATTGAATCAGGTTAGGGACAACGGTGTAGTGCTTACTTCCGATACCTCCTTGACCCTGCGCATCGTTTTCGGGGACCTACGTTTCAACTATATGTTAGCTGCATTAATCCTAATAGAATCTTACTCAGACGTCACAGTTTCCTACTGGAATTCGGGTGGATTATAGTAGTTTACTGTTTAAACTGAATACGATGCTTGTTCATCTGGTAGTAGTTTTCCTAGAATAGAGTATACTGAAGGGTGTTTTCATCGGTTACTATGTAAGTGTACCTAATTACGGTGTATTGATACGTAATTAGTGGGTAAATTATTTTACTCTAAAATGACGACTTAGATAGTGACTATTACACTTACCTACATACCAATTTGGTTTTGACGGGGAGACTCACCTGAAACTTCGCTGAATCTCTCACTTATGGTGTTCTTCTTCAAAAACGAAGTGTTTTGGGCAACCTTATGAATGGTGTATTACGTTTATGACGTGACCTATTTGGGAACTGATGGCGCTCTCATTGGGAGAAAGGTTATCTCAGAGTTTGACAAGTGAATCAACAATGAAGCAAGCTGGGTAGATATTTCTTCATGTGGCCGCGTATAAATGCTCATTTCTTTTGACAAGGCAGCCAGAGAGAAATCCAGATGAACTCATGATGTTTGTTAGCTCACATCAAAGGCGTTTCATCAGTTAATACTGGGCCTACAGCCGCCTCCTCCAAAAAAATTCATAGTGAGGAATGGATGCGCGACGTTTGGCGGCATATATGGAGAAAGAGTGAGCACAATGTCGTGCTATTCGGACCCATTACTTGATCTTCGGAATTTTCAAATTTACTCTTGATTTGTCTAGATTTTATGGCAAATATTTCCTTCGTCAAATTTTACGTCATGCGCTATCCGAATCACTTTGTACTCACCCCAGAAACAATGAATTTTTTCGTCGTTTCCTGGTTACTGTCCGTCAGATTTCTGTCAATAAACTTTTCTCATAAACCCATTTTCAGACTCAACGGGAAACGATCGATAGAAGAAGCATGGGGATTAAGGAACATCCAAAAGGTGAGTTAACTCATAAACAAATGGCCATTAGATGCCGACTAAACGCGTGAATAACAAATTTGTCTCATTGTTCAAACATTGATCGGTGTATCGCAGAAACGAAGAGTATAATCCACCAGTCCAAGAGTCGGAATTGTCAAAATAATTCTTCGCTTTGCTCAGCTTTAGGTTATAACCAGTTACACAATCCGGTCAAATAAGAGAATAACAATGGCCACGTATGGGTTCCATTTGTCTGAAGATATTGCTATGAATTATGACATCAAAAAATGCTTCGAACAAAATGCTTTGTCAGGCGGAAAAAACTGCAGTCCGAGGTTTAATTGTGCCGAATTCTTTCGTTCTCGTCCATACTGATTTGTGAATGTACTTGCAAACATTGGTGATAGTCAGATGTTCCATCGCAACCATAACCTGCGTGTGACCAGTTATCAGCATCCGCTGGAACCCACGTCGACATGTTCATATCTGTCAGGTCTTCTATGACCACCAACAGTAACTTAGTTATATGTTTATTAGACAAAAATATACCATTAGTCTTCAGAGCTCCATCTTCAGCTCCAGAGTTTCAGAGCTCAGAGCTGAAGGTGCCAGTTGCTTTGACGGAACTAGCCTTGACGAAATGGCCAATAAGGACCCAGAATGCATTTGGATGAAATTTTCAGCATGATACGGAGCGCCATCCATTCCTAAAGCTAGATTGGTCTCTGTCCATTCCACGAAGGTGTCCAGTTTTCGGCCATCTTATATGTAAACACTCGTGCCTCAACAAATGCACCCATTTGAATACCAATTTGGTTTCCACATCTGAATCCCAGCTGAGTCTATTGTTTATGATATTCTTCAGCTGGGATTCTGGTGAGCCTTCCGTGGGGATATTTGGTGATTCTCGAGCGATTCGGGTTCAAGTAGAACATGAGATTAATGGAAACTTGGGGACGGCGCTTACGTGATGTGCCTAAAGAAGGGCGAATCCAGCTGTGGACCGTCGAAGAGTTTTCAGCATCCTTATGGGTAGTTTTCTTTCTGGAAGCACTCCCTAAGATCTTAGCTGCTGAAAAGTTTCTCAAAAAATATTTCACCCTTTACATTCTTAAACCAGTGACTTAATTATTATTATATTATATTGTATCAAAACAATAGACTCATTAGGCAATATTTCATAAAAGCACACATCAAATCTCATTATAACTAGTATCTCTTCTCATGTCCAGAAAACCCACTCTCCCATACAAACAACAGCTTGGCTGGAAAATGAAGCAAGCGGCAGATCAAATGAAGTGTGCCTCCGGATATGTTGATTTGGAAGAATCCAACTACTCAAGAATCAGAACGGTGGTTGTTTAGCTAGTAGGCAGAATAGTAACCAAGCAATAGACAGTATTTTGTAAAACTAAAGATAAACGCATTAAGAATAAACGTTACGACTGCTGTCTGGGACATTCGAAAAATTTCTGCATCTGTGTGACACGCTTAATTCACCTCCCCTCCTGTGAGCTCCCAACAGTTTAGTATCAGTTTGCTGTCATTTTATTGGTTAGCCAATCAACGCACAGCTTGAGATAAGTAACTTGCATTTTCCTATTTGTGAAGTCCTTTAAAGCTGACTACCGAAAACATGTGCTCACGGTAGTTTGATTTGGAAGGAGGAATCTTCTTTGCCAACTACTCTTGCTTGGTTGTAATTGGAGACTCAGCTGCATCCCAGCCAAACTCCAACTGAATATGCTCTAAAGAAGCCGCCTAATGTTTCAATTTGCACATGATTTGAGATATTGAGGTTTATAGTCCTGAAAGAGCCTACTAATAAGGTTACTGAAAACTCTTTGATAGTCCGTAACCGGTTTCCATTGATCACAGCTTGCTTGCTGGTATTTTCAGGGCCTTATGCGTTCGGTCACAAAATGTTTTACGAATTCAGTAACCAGCTGGGCCTGGTTAGGTTCACCTCAATTTTCAAGATTTTGTGTTCAGGAACGAAGTTGGGCAAAAACTACGGATGGCCAGAACTGCATTGCGTGCTTTTTTGTGGGCCTTATCACATACCAAAAATCGATTATTCACACTCATTCTCCATGTACCGTTACTTCTTTTTCTCTCTGCAGATTATTCAACATCTCACCGATGAAGAAAACGTTATGTAACTTACTTATCTCTCATACTTCGTTGCAAAAGCAACGCCCCAACTTATCTCACCCTTACAAGACGTGCTTTCCCTATGCTACCTCCGTTATACACCGACCCTTTCACGGCCTTTCTGATGAAAGGAACAATCAACCAAGTGGTAACCGATCATTCATGCTCAAACATGACACCTCCACATTCCGTAGCAATGATAATACCTCAGAGCTCAGTCAGCTCATCATACCCGCCAATATGCTTACCAACCTTATTCATCTTTTTTCGTGTAAAAATACGGTCCCTCGTCCCAGTTTGTTTCTTTTGCCTTCTTTGTCACTTCGTTTTTCTCGCCACACAAGCATTCATCTTAGATGTGTGGTGTTCCTAGAATACTGTGTACAAATTGTATATCTATTATTTTCATAAATTTGATAACATGGAACCTGGGTCAAATGGTGTTCTACATACCGTCTTTAAGGGTATTACTGGGGATTGCAATTAGATAAAGTGTTTCTGTTCACAACCTCACAATCTATGGCAAAGTGGTTTTCCCATAGTTTGTTATAGTGCGCCTTTCAGTTGGATCGGATGATCAAAGTCTTGTTATTCGATGAGCGAAATCCCAGTTCTTATTTCTCACACTTTTCGGTGTGCTTATCAGGATCCCATTTGCCAGTTACATAACCTTCAATCAGTTTCATCAAAGACCACTGTCCAGGTGGTGTTTGACGTCGTAGTTTTTTCACATCCACAAAGGTGAGTGCTTAACCCCAAGACTGTTTTTTCGACGACGAATCCTAATCGAACTGAAACCTTCCTCTTATTGGACTAACTGGGATTAATAATCAATCAGAACAGGAGCCCAAAAGCCTGTTTTCAGCCATACTCGTCAGGCTAGAATCGGTATGGGTTGTCAAGGTGAAAAAATGAAACGAGGGAAACAAATCATACGTACACGGGTGAAACGTTCGTTGCAATGGCATGACAATTAAAGGGTGAATCGGTTCAATTAGAACAGGTGGAATCTAGTTCAGCCAAAAAGAACAAAGAGCGAGATTGAGGATGCATCAAATGATGTGGAGTAGGCCCGGACAATTGCAGTTACTGGGATTGGTTCTTGTGAACACAGAAAGTGCACTAAACAGCCCCAAGGCTATTGCCTCAGGTGTGGCCAAAATGTAACTGTTTAATGCCTCTGAGTGTCATTCATACATCCGGTGGATGGGTCAAAATTTGTTGGAGGCTGTAACAAATGCTGAGGCTGATAGAGCTATACGACTACAAAATGGTTTTCTGGTCTGCTAACACGCTCCAACAGACGTCTGGTCGGGTGGCTAGGATAACTTGTTTCACAGGGGGGAAATTAAAGTGGCAAGCAAAGAAAACAGTAGCAGATTTACGCACTTTATCCGTGCTCGGCAAACGCTCAACTGATGTGATGGTGAAGTATAAACGAGTCTGGTTTAGTGCACCAGTTAGTTTTCTTGTTGGTGACTGAGTATCCCCTTTAAATGGTGGCTACTTGTAAAAGGAAGAAGGCCTTCTCTTTGGAGTTGTTTATTAGAAAACAGCATTGGAATGGTTATAGACCATTGGACAGGGAAGCAAAGCTCTCATATGCATCGATTTTACAAAAACTGAATATCCATCTTCCCCTTGGATGCGTCTTCCTGAACTTTCCTGGATATTCATTGACTGTTACAAAGCTACTACACCAATTCCGTAACAGATCTCACTTTTAAAGAGACGTGGGCGGGTTTGCGAGAAAACATTCTACTCGCATGCCTCACCAGTAGTATCCACCGTTACATCTGTAGGTTCTTTTCTTGGGAAACATAAGTACACATGCATCTTTGACTGGATGTTGCGTTTTCCAGTTTGAAAACTCTGCGGACGCGTTTTGCCATCATCCCGACTAACGTACCTTTCGAACATGCTATCGGATTAAGTTTTATTTCTTAGGGACAAGACACTCTGTTCGTTCCAGATTTCCTTTCGGAATACCGTATACCGTCTTATCCTGTCACTGTGGCATATTATTGAAGGGCAAATTAAGAAAAACAGCTGATTTTCTGACTCAATTTCCAGGGTGAGCATCACAAACGGATTAGCCGTATTGAAGATTGTTAGTAGGTCTGTTGAGTTCAATGATTCACCAAGTACACAAAATGCCGTTGACATATCACTTATAGAAAAAATAACGCTTGTTTGGCTGTACCACTTCCAGTGCCTAGCTGCTAATACACCAGAAGGAATCACGAAGACTTAGATACCATCAGGTTGCCCAAGCCCAGACAGGAGTAGTCGAGATGCAGAGGTTAGGTTGGAATCACTGACCTTCCGGTCAGTAAATTTGTGCTTTAACTACTGAACCATCTTGAGCTCATATCAGTTATAGACGCTTCACTGACTGGTAGCAGAAAGTAGTCGAATATTGTCTAGCTTTACTACGAATACGCCAGAAAGTAAAGGTCCTAAATGAGAGCCAGTGCTTACTTCGTATCTCTGGCAGTACTTTTCGTTGTAAGATTAGAATCGTACGAGTATAAGAGCTGATACGGGTTTTCTTTTAGAATGCGGCACCATTTTTCATACCTAAATTATACCTGTCGAAATGATCATTTGTACCACATCAAGGGACGTTCGAAAGTGGAAAGGGTAGACCCATCCTTCTCAATGAAGTTTGGCTTTTAACCCAAATGTACAAGATTAAAACCATTACACAAAGTCTATTTATATACGGCTTTTTTTGCGCAACACACTCGCGTAATGGAATGTACAGATCTCTAAGTACATGGTTATATGTCAATGACAACGGGATTTCTAACAGAGCCTTTCCTAAGAGGACCATTCATGAGATAACTGTAAATCACAGTTTGTAAAAGGCGATTCTGTAGGTGGGACAGTAAACATAGAAGAGCGTTGAAATATGAGTGCAATTCTGGCGATTGTTTACCCATCAGAGCAAGAGTTTAGGTTGTCCATTCTAGATTCACTTCACTTATGGAACGAAGTCCAGACTGAAATGACCAAGTGTCCCGATATATAACTATCAGAAGCTCAGAAGGAGGCATAACTCACACGGAGAGTGAACCATCCGTTTAAAAAGTCGGTAAGCCGGCCAACAAGTAATCATCGGATATGAATTTCATGATAGAATAGCATGATGAATAGCATAATATCCTGCCTAAATGCGGGTTGATCACACTACCGACCAGACCCTAGTACCCACGCGGGCAGACTTATAACTGTTAGACGAAACGTTGTTTTCGAACATTCTGGTGTGTCTGCCGCTGGGGATTCACAATGAGGATGGTGCTTCCGTCAAGACATACACTCTGTTGCAAATCAATTTGGTTTTCACGAGACATTCAACTAAATCTCTCGTTTATGATATTTCTCAAAAACAGTAGAGCATAAGGTTGACGGAAACTCGGGGACTACGCCTACCTGATGAGCCCCAAGAAGGGCAAAACCGGTCACAGGCTGTCGAAGAGTTTTCAGCAACCTTTATAAGAAAGGATGGTGCTGCTTTACAGTGCTCCAACTTTCATCCAACTGTGACTTTTTTCAGGATCAAAGTGAAGGACTGAAGTTGCCTAAACTACTCATAATGAAACAAAAACTCGTAGCTTGGTGTTTGGTCTGTTACACTTGTTCGTGTATCCCAGAGAATAATAGCAACTCAGCGGTTGCAAATGCTTCGGTAACCTTCATGCAACAGGTAAGTGGAAGGTGACTACAGATTCCATCGAAGGTTTTCTTATATCAGCCATACAAATGATATTTTGCTACCTTCAAGAAGTTAGGAGGTATATTAAGGTGACCGGTACAATGCAGTGCGACCTAAGATAACTCAGTAAACTATCCCTACAAGCACACTCCACATAACTGAATGCCGAAATTGGAGCCAGCTAAGTAAACAAAACAAATACTGGAATATTTTATGATTAACGATAAACCTTGAAAATCCTCGTGACAAAATTCCCCCAAATCGTATTGCCTTCGTAGACTGAGTTCTTCCCGTTTTGTGCGTTGAGGATTTTTAATTTCCGCTGAACCTGCCTTAAGTGCGAAACATCTAGAAGCCTCACGAATACGTGAGCTAACAGCAGTGATATTAAAGCATTTCTAACGAAAAGTCGACCGATTATGGTTTGTCGCATCTAACAGTTACAATTCAGTGCAGCTGTATGCTTTCTATATCAACCAAGAAAAAGATTCCCCCAACCAACTCCTTAGTAAATAGAGATGATTCTTATGTTGTTATGAGAAACTTCAGACTGATGACTTGAACAGCTTTTGGTGTTGAACAGAACGGGGGTTACTGAGGGCAAATCACCATATATGTGTCTCTAACTTGTTGTTATTTGGATCTTGCAGGTGTTGCTCCTTGACTAATGCGTGACTCCCAAAGTCAATTTCTTACTGGGAAGATACATCATAAATTGATGCGGCACCAGAACTCACATGCTAAAGTAATATGAAAATCACCAGTACATACTCTTTGAAGGAAGGAGAAAAGGAAATGTTGAGAAGGAAGTGCTTTGAGTGCAAGCTCAGTGTGAGTCCCAGCGGCAGATGAGGTGCATTCTTCCTAATACTGTATTCACAGGACTATTTTGATGGCTGAGTATCTACGTGGCAGAACACTATTCGTAATGGTCGTGGAAAACTTTCGACAACTCACAATCGACTGCACCCTTTTCAAGAATGATTAGGTGGGCACAGACCCCAAGGTTTCATCAACCAACTTGATTTTCAAATGAGTGTATTTCTCGAAAACAGTCCAATTTGGGTTCAGGTAGAACATAAGGTTGATGGAAACTCAGGGACTGCACCTACCTGATGAGCCCCAAGAAAGGCGAAACCGGTCGTGGGCTGTCGAAGAGTTTTCAGCAACCTTGTGAGTAGTTTGCTTCACGAAAACCATGTATCTTATTTGCAACATAGTTGTAAGATAGTGAAATGTACTCAATTGCAAACTAATTTGAATGTCTTTTTCTATTTACTCAAAGTTGTCCCAAATTCACTTCCGAACTTTGGACAAAATAAAGTCTCATGCATAACATTCACCCATCAATATTTCTGACAAGATTGCAGATGACTGAGGTCATCTAATCGTACTTGTTTTTTTCCACTGTGCATGCATCCTACTAAGAGCTTTTTAGGTGTACAAAACCGAACAATTGACTGCACTTTGGGCTTCCTGTTCAACCGATTTAGATGGTTGGTGTCATGCAGGCGAACTGCTGATTTAACGGGCCAAGTTAGACCTACTGAAACTTGCTCTGGTTTGTCTCGGCTCAGAACAGAACATAGCCGAACCTGAATCTCATGACTAATGTGTAGCAAGATAAACCGCGAAACTCAGAACAAACATCCAATACATATTCATGAAACCGGTTGTTTCCTCCAATGGTTTAGAGTGTTTCTCCATACCTACGAATTTGTATGTCATTTTTCGTCCAGTCAATCAATCATGTAGGCAACCGGCCGGCTGGTTTACTGTTAAGTTCGTAACAACATCCACTGTCTACTTTGCGCAACTAGTCCCTCCGCAGGGAGCAGCCGACCAGATGATGAGCCATTGAAGACCAGATACAGGCCGTGAGCTACAGTTTTAAGAGGGCTGTCCTAGGTGATTACCACTTGTTATGCAGGATATTTCGATCTGGTCAACAACACCAACTGAGAACAGCTTGTTTTTATGAAAGAATACTTGTCACTGCACGCACTAATGCATCAAGTCTGATCATACGACTTGCTGTTTCCATGTTTTATTAAATTTAGCATGGGGGGGGCATTCGCCACATCTGTGCGAGTTGTCTCTTTCTAGTATCCTTCACAAAAGTAAACGCGCATATCAAGTTTAATTTAATTTGTACTACTTGTATGTTGTGTGAAACACAACTAAATTTCTGTAGGAAAAACGTTGCACGAGGGAGTTTGTTGTGGGTCGGTATATGATGGCCAGTTCAATGCATGAATTTATTTTAACCAGAAGGGATGAATGCAAGCGTTTTGGAGGTAGAGTGTGTGCTGATAGACGGATGGAGTGCAACAGAAAAAGTTCCATGTGTATGTGGTATGTGACGTTAAGTGTTTTCTACAACGAACTTCGACACTCTTCAAAGATTCGTTAGATCAGAGCTGGAGTTTTGATTGTGGACAAAATCAGTGATCTAATCACTTTCAATAGAGTAGCTGATTGAATTAGGTGTTACACAAAGCGAACACCAGATGCACGGTCTCAAAACACTCAGTGGGCTAATGAGGTGTTCTCTTGGGGTCGAATACACTTCTTGTGAAACGGACACTTATCCTATAAATATGTCAACGTTCAGCTGTTACAAGTGACCGCACGACAATGTACAGCCTTTCAGAGCACTGTTTTCCCTCAGATGATCCGCCGCTTAGGAAAAAAGGCTCTGGAATCGACAGCTTTGAAAGTTGTAAATTCGAAGCACAGAAGATTGGTTTAACTAGGTGTCAGTCTGCATTACTGATATCATCTCTCCACTGTTTCACTAGCGTGCCTGCCATGAGGTTTGACGCTTCCTGGTATGTTGAGAGCTTCACTCTCCACAATTCTTACGGTAGCACGCGTTCGATAATTCCACACAATGAAGAATAAAATAGGACAAGGCTATGAATATACTTTAGAGGGCGGTGCGGAGAACGGTGGTGCGCAATGTTAACAGACAACAACGATACAGCGATACCATTACTTCTCAATTATTAGGCTCAGTGGATAATTCTGGAAGCTATCAGTTGATGGAGTTTGATTACAAAAGCCAGTAAAAGGTAACATCACTACCCTCAACTCTCGCACTACAGCTTCTAGGTCGGAAGAAGCCATAATATGAAAAACCAACTTCCGAAAAATTACCATTGTAAAAAGTGCGTGCTGATAACAGCAGTTAAACGCAATGAGACATTGAAAATACGGATACATTTAGACAAGATTCTGGAGGCAGGGACTATTCGCAAGAGGGACAGTGCTCCTTCTCTTTACCAGAAACCTGCATCTAAAACATATCTCGAGGACGAGATTATGGGACTTCAGCTTTTTGCAGGCCCTTCAGTTATCAAGCAGGAGATACAGTACTTCTACAAATTGACACTCGAACAGAAGTGAGACAACCGGTACACAGATGGCGTCTTAATCTGCTAGTCTGAGCTGGTTTCTTTCGCAGGCTAAACAAAAATGGACTGAATCATATGCATGCGAACGCGATTCGCATTATATGGCTCCCACCCTGGGGCTCTCCTTTATATCCAAGGCCAAGGCTGTTTTAGCCAACTGGGACAATGCGGTCCTAGGTTAAGAGACGCTCATGTTATTATCCAGTATGGTGCGTATTCCCAATCAAACCAACTATCAAGAAACCTTGAATCAAATACTCGATTGCCCATTGGAAACTAACACATTCATGGGAACGCCTCCCTCTTGAATCAAAACAGAAAATCCATGGGCAGCTTTTCAACCTAAAGAAGAACCTGAGCAGTACTCTATAATTAAACATGTGAAATACAGACAAGTACCCGTTTTGTGGTCCAGATCGTTTTCACAACTGACGAAGCGACATATCGTGGCCGAGGACCGCCGTCCCCGTAGTTGTCGTTTTTGGATGAACCTTCCGAACAACTTGGTCACCCCTGAGCATCTTGTATAAAATACTGTAATATTCGAGTAGTACAAAATCAGACAAGTACCCGTTTTGTGGTCCAGATCGTTTTCACAACTGACGAAGCGACATATCGTGGCCGAGGACCGCCGTCCCCGTAGTTGTCGTTTTTGGATGAACCTTCCGAACAACTTGGTCACCCCTGAGCATCTTGTATAAAATACTGTAATATTCGAGTAGTACAAAATTCCATGCTAAAATGATGTGCCTATCTATCAGCATTCAGCCGGATTGTCTTTGACCTTCAACAGTGCTTAACGGATGGAAACGATTCGTGAAAGTATCTCCAGTGAACCTTAACCAGGGGGTCCATAAAACCGGAAGAGGTGACATCACGTTGACATTCATTTGGATAGTTGATCTTCAAAGCAAAAAAGGTAACTGAGGGTGAAGGTTAAAACCTGGCTGAAACGTGATACACTCTCTGGCAAAAAGGAAAGGTTCACCTTTCGCGATTTTTCTTCTGTGTCAGATATCTATGCTCTACAAATGACTTTCATGAAACTCGGACGAAAAAATGAAGAGAAATCCACCACTTGGTGAGGCAACTTTTTGATCGAATAGTTCCTAGTAAATCCAGTTACGCACTCGCAAATTAAATTGTTTACAACGTTGAAATTGACGGGATCTTTACTGATTCCCTGATTCATAATATTCTTTGAATAAGTGTTCTACAATAAAAGTCACACATGCTTCGGTCAAATTGTTATATTAAATATGGCGAAATATTTTCTTTTTGCATCCTTGCGGTTACTGTTATGTCAAGGTCTTGATTAACTGTCCACTTTTGATGGCGAGGGACGGTTCAGTGTAGTAAACAAAACAAAACCAAAGCAGCGCATGTTGGAAGAACCACTGAACAACTTCTGCCCACTCACAACAGTAGCATTCTTGTTATACAAATAAGAAAGCAAAAAACGCCTCAAATCCTGTCTTAAAACTGGGGATGTTAAAGACACCACTCATTCGATCGACCGGTTGTCCGCAACCGGTGCCTTTTGAACAAGTGAGCTAAGGATGCTTTTGTTTTTTGTGCATCCTTTTGCAAGCTGAAACGGCATTTAGTATTGTTGCTGTTGTCGGTGGTGGTGGTGGTGGCTTAGTTGTTTACAGTTCTCAGTCTCCCATCTGTCAAAGCCACAAGCACCCTCAACCCAGTTGCGTGTTATACAATATCGCAAGTGTGCATACTTATTTTTAGAGGTTCAAACTGTAAGTTATTGCGCAGGCGTGATAGTGTGATTTATCTTAAGAAACACTAGGCACTCTGTGAGATTTTACAGCTAAATATAGGAGAAGCCGACACGCAATCTTTGGAGTGTATGCTGACCCTATTTATCACGCCACTCCGGCAGATAAGCGGAATCCACAGCAAGTCACCTGCGAGAAAGACATCATTTATGAGTTTTTATGCCTACTGTCTTGCCGCTCTGCACGTTGATAGATGGCTGCGTAGGTCAAATTATTTTGTCGGGTATTTTGCGCCATTTCCGGCTGCATTCTACGAGGTCAGACTGAGCGAAATTTTCCGACGGTCTTGTTCTGGGATTCCTTGAAAGCCCGTTTGAATATCGCACAGTAAGTTGATACACAACTATGTTGTAAAAATAACATACGCAAAGTAAGCTCAAAAAGGTAGAATAGGTCAGACTGAAAACTAGGGTTTATATTCATCTAATTAACCTCAAACAGGGCTGAACACTTAGCAGGCTTTTGACAAATTTCGAAACCTCTAGCAATCCCGAATAACAGATAAAATGACTTCCGGAGTAGTCATTATGCCACCTAGTTGGTTGAAGCAGCTTGACTAAACAATACTTTCATGATGGTTTTTGTGCAGGTGAGTCACAATTTTAAAGAAAACATCACTCCCCATTCAAACGGCTAACAGGTTTAATTACTGTAGTTTTGGAATGTAGGCCACAGTTTGTAGACAAGCTCGAAAAACAATAGTATGTAGGATGGTAAACATGGTGCCTCTTCCTCGGTTTATAGATGAATTCTCACCAGCATCAGATCCCTCATCTCCTGAGTTGTAACACTGCTTATCGTGCCAGTTCACTGGTCGAAATCTGCACGTTTCAACAGACTCGTTTGCTCTACGGAGCTCATTTTCTTTGACGGTAGAGCTGTATAAGCATTGCGTTTGCCCCTTTACCTTCTTCTGACAGACATGCGATAGAACACCTGCTACACTTTATACGGAGATGTAGGTATACGTTTCTCATAGAGCTTTACCCGGGTATAACAAAAGAAATAGTGGAAACCTATGGTACGGTTATCTAGCGACTTCAACACTGTG